GATTACCTAATCTACCCGGAGGGCAAAAGATGAGAAATCATAGAATGCAACCATATACACTGATATGTAAAAAAAAAAAAAGTCAAAAAAGGGAGCGCCAGTGTTTGGAATATACTCCTCAGTAGTACTGGAGCACCTGGCGCGTGGCCAGAGATACAGCGCAGCAATATCGCGGCCACACTAGTGGGGTTAACCCTTGCCAATATCCAACATACCAATCCACCAGCACTCCAGCCTGCAGCTAACACCCCTGCCTCAAACTGACTTGCATGCGCATGTCTAACTAGTCTCCTGGGACAGTAGTTTTTGTTTTCTCCATCCACAGAGTGTGTGTGCAAAAATGGCTTGGATTGCTAAAGCGCAGTTAACACAATAATGTCTGAAATCTCTTTGTTTGAGGCAAAATATCTGATAATTTGCACAATTGTTACAATTTCAAAACTGTTAATTTTTACTTTGCCAATTTCAAAAATTTGTGATCGAATCAGCCACAAGTCAATCGACAATCTATCACAAGTCAAGCACAAGTCAGGTTCCAAGTAACACGAGACAATGACTATAGTAACAATGACTAAGGATTGTTTTGGTAGAGATTATTTGAAGTTGTTATTTTGTGGTTTTTTTTGTATTTTGATTGTCTTTTCCGAATGATATTTTAACGAATATCATGTCCCGTAACAAATAACTTTGCTTGTTTGTTTTTGCAGGTCTTTATACAGTTTTAAAATTTGGTTTTAAATGGGGCTGTCTAGTTCAGAAATTGCGCACACTATTCAGAGCGAATAAGTGTCTCGCTCTTAATTCAAATGTTGAAATTAATTAATTCATGATTACTTAATTGTCATGGGCCGATTTTTTTTCGTGCGATCTCATTTTGATCATGCATGGAAAGCTCATAACTAATGTAATGCTGGGAAATTCTCAATTCAATTTGAAAATCTAGTTTTTCAAGGTGCCACAACTGACCAAAAAGCATGTATACATCCCCTTTAAATAGCTAACCACTTAACTGAACCGGGAATGGATGCACGAATGAATTTTGAGAGACTCTTGATGACTTGTGAAAGCTTACAACTCAGACATTTTGTCTCAAAAACACTGGAGATTTCAGACAAAACATTTTTGGGGTTTACTCTTTACAGCAAAGTTTAATATATTTTCTTGTCTCATTACTAACAGTCTCTGGGAATATCCAGCTATCCCGTTTACCACTCGGTTTACGAGACCTTCTACTACATGAAGACGTTCTTGGACTACGATTTCCTCCGTCACCAGGCCGTGGCCAGACTCTGGGCAGAGGTGGCCCGAGACCTGGCCGAGTCCGTCATACTTCCCTTTGACTGCACCGACTACGTGACCAAGATCACAGGGTCCATGGATACGGTGAGGACTGCATACGAGGCACAGATGGCTGCGCAGGGAATCACTTTTGGTGAGGGGGAAATTTACTGGTAATAATCATCCTATCGCAGAGTGCTAAGTGGTGTGGAAGTTAAGTCCATCACAAACCCATCACAAGTCGGGTCACAACTCTACTCACAAGTCCGGTCACAAATAACTGGGATCAACAGTAACAAAGGAATGCCCTGGCCACAGTTGATTTGAACAGCTTGTGACTTGAAACCAGACTGTAACGATGACTCGTAAATTATTGAGTTGTGACAGTGTCCCAAAGATTGTATCAGTATTTCTGGATAAAAAAAAAATGGTGACTGCTCTATGTTCCGACACCCTATGTTCTGACACTCCTATGTCTGACAACCCGCATATAAGGCCAAGTTCGCGCAAGGACTATAGTTGACCAATGGTTAACTAACGCTTGCCCGAACTCTGTCTAGTCGACGGTGGTTGACTACGCTAGTCGACTATTTGGAACCAGCCTACTGGGGTTGGTTGCTTCGCTGGTAACCAATAGCCGCGCGCATTCATAACGCTAGCAGAGAGCCAGGATCCAGAAGTTTTACGATGACATTTTGACCAGCGTTTGACTAGAGACGTTCGCACGTTGCTATTAGTGCGCAGGCGTAAGGTACGTCACAAATCAACCACTAGTCGACTAATGGTCCTTGCCCGAACTTGGCCTAAGCTTGTGTTAGTCCTGGTCAGTGTTAGGGTTAGGGGGGTCAGTGGCGGCGCCATGTTTTTTATTTATTTTTTTGGGGGGGGGGTGGGAGAAATTGAGGGGTGTGGGTGGGGCAAGGATATTTTGGGGGACAGTCAGTGGTCAGTTATTTTGAATGAGAAATGTATCGAACCGCAAAATGGTGTATTTATGCATGTTTGGCGTGCTTTGTCTACCAAAGTACCAATGTTTATAATGCTTCATTGGCCCAAAATGTGTCCACATAATTCCGATGATTTACTCTCTATCTTCAAGTTGTTATTAATCTTAACAGCGAAGAAAATAAAGATAATTAATCTATTTGTAGATAAAAGTTGGGGGAAAACGAGGGGGGGGGGGGAGTGTCAAACTGGGGGGGGGGGTGTTAAGGAAATAATTTACGGGGGAAAATGACCCCATGCCCCACCGTAGCACCACCACTGGTAAGGGTTAGGGTAAGGGTTAGGGTAAGGGTTAGGGATAGGAATATGAGCAGTTGGAACATAGGGGTGTCAGAAAATATAGGCGTGTAACCCCCCAATAAATACAAAATGCCATCCAAAAAAAACTCTCATGTGCAAGAAAGATTATTTACCGTGACTTCTCCTGGTGCATAATTTTAAGTCGATGACCACCTAATAATCATAAACCTCATTTTAGTGTCCTAAAATCTTGTACAAGGTTTCAAGAAAGATCCGAATCTTACGAACACTTCCTTCCTCCATGATATTATGTAATAATCGTATGATTTCTGTCACAGATTACATCTACTCTGCTCTGACCAACTTTTCAGCAGCTGCCACTGAATTTGAGAAAGTCATCTCACAGACCGATATGAAAGAGTAAGACATTAACAGCTAAAACTTACTAATTAAAGTGCAAGCTTGCACCATGCATGTGGAGTACATTTCTACTCTAAAAATGAGTCCTTTGAAGTCTCAAGATAACAGAATTGAAAGCATTTTCAATAAGCCATTATTTTACAAAGTGGCCACAGAGTATTGTGGGAAGGAAAAAATTGGCACATTATATTGCCCACTACGTCTTCTTAAATTGCTTCATTGGTTTTTGTGCAAAGTAAAGTGGATTTACAACAAGGTCTAGTATGACCCCTGATGTGTATTTTTTGTGCTGATCATTTTCTAGTTTGATGGCTGTGCGTCGAGTCAACGATCAATTGATGCAACTGGAACGAGCTTTCATTGATCCTCTTGGACTACCAGATCGCAAATTTCTTAGGTGAGATCTAACAAAATATTAATCCAAATATCTTAATGGGCTTAATGCACGAGTTGGCCATTTTGAGTCAAGCTCCCTGAATGTATTTCATTAATTGCTAACTGTAGAATGGGATGGCGCCAGACTATTTATTCAGGAATAATGCAGCCTTATTTTACCTTCTTTCTTTTTTTAATCTGGCTTTAAACATTAGGCAATGTTTAATTGCAAATATTAAATTATTCATTGAAGCAGACTGGAATTAATTAGTAATTAACTTGCTTTCATTTTTCTTCGCAAGATTCAAAAATTAAGATTTTACCTCACTTTCAATTCAATATGGCCGACTTGTGCATAAGGCCCATACTCTAAGAAACAACATAAAGTTTTGCACATTTTCAAAGTCCAAAGAATCTGTCATTGGTTTTATATCACACATTGAAAGATTTGTGAGGGTTCAGGAATTATAGAAATTCACGACTGTGTGTGGGGGTGTGTTCACGAGGCCTGGTGGCAAAGCTGTTTGCTCCGCGAAACAGGCAAGCCAAAGCATCGTTTACGACATAAGAAAGTAGGAGTGTGTACATGATCCTTATTCAAACCTTGCATCTTACAACATTCTGCTATTGCTAAAAATAACACTTGGTTTAAAAATTCAATTTCAGACAGCTTGGAGACATCAACTTAAAAAATAAAAGGTTAAATTTTCAGGTGTGAAACTGTTTTGGTATAATCCCAAGTTTCCGATTTAAGTGGGATTAAGTATGTGCATTTCTGTTTAGTTTAAAAATCAGTAATTTAAAAACTCTTTGAGTTTAACAAGAATCAGCCAGGAACTTCAGATTCCAGAGATGGTACTATTTTTCTATCTTCATTTGTAGTTATTGTTTCCATTTACAGACACATTGTGTTCGCGCCAAGCAGTAAGAACTACTACGCTGCAGATGCCTTTCCTGGCATCGTTGACGCCATGTATCGAATCGACGAAGCACTAGACCAAGATGAGCGCTGGGATATTGTCAAGCAACAAATGGCTGTCACAACTCATGCCATCCAATCAGCAGTCAGCACACTGCAGGATGTGCTGGCATTCGATGGTTAATTAATCACAGCGAGGAGCTGATTGGTCCAAAGTACTTATTAAACATATGGCTTGTATTACCCGAGCTATTCAATGAGCAGTCAACACACTACAGGAAGTGCTGGCATTCGATGGTTAATCATATTGAGGAGCTGATTGGTCCAAAGTAAAAATATGGCTGGTATAACCCCGAGCTCTCCATAATCGTACCGTAATTTCAATGGGGGCGCTGTTCAAGTCAGACGATTTTTTTACACTACATTACAGAATAGTGTACAAATACCCCTAACCATGGTGGCTCGGTCCGTATTTTGTGCACAGGAATACATCATATACAGTATTTTTTTTGGGGGGGGGGGGGTTTCAGAGTAGGGGGGGGGGTTGTTTGCATTATTTTTAAGGAATTTCTATGAATTTTTTTTTGACAGAGCTGGGTTTTTTTTTAACCACCCCCCCCCGGATAGGCGCCTGAACATGTTTCATTTGCAAAACATTTATTTTACGACAGTTTATCATTGCATGATTCTTTCAAAATCGTTTAAAAAGTCACCGACAATCGAGAACAAAAACCAACAATCACGACACTGCACGCACTAATGGTTCAGTTGGTCAAAATGTGCACTTTATTTTAATAGACTTTACCCAATAGTACTCCCCACACGCCTCGTCACGTGTGTTTGGTGTTAACACTCATTATAATCAGCTGATGACTCTCAAAAAAGCACAAATACATCCAGAGAGGGCAGTGCACTCGCTATACAGTACTTTATCTGCCGAGAAATATTCACAATCTATACATACAGACCTAACCGACTGCAGGGTAGGAATTTACTATCTCAGTGGCATCCCGCCATCCCAAATTTCACATTTTTAGGGATGTCTATTTCTGACTGACATAACTATTAAAACCTTTTATCAGCTCTGTTTTAAGACTTTTAATCATTTTTTTTATATTCCTTTTTTTTTTAATTTGAGTAGACGGAAGAAACTAAATGCTATTGCTTCAGAAGTTTTTGTTTTACATTTTTTTTTCCAAAATGCAAAATGAAAATTTGGAGGGAAGAGCGGACCATTAAATCTACGTCTAATTGCAAGAAATGCTTTGAAATAATTTGAAACTGCAATCGTAAATAAGCTTGAATACCTTCAGGCAAAAAACCAAGACGAGTAGAGGATTGACGTCAACGTGACAGCAAAGATTCAAATATTAAAATTTCAATAATGTGTTTGCTTGCTTGACTGAGGATTTAGGTAGCGATCAAACGGTTGTTAAAACTTTCATAATTCAACAGAAACCATAATTTATAACTCTTTTTGATTTCCAAAAGCCAGATTTGCAACCCTCACAATTAAAGAAAAAAACTTACAGTTGGGAAACATCACAGAGTACTGCTTGCATTTGAACGCCATTAAGGAAGCACAGAAAAACTTAACACAAGGGGTATGATGGTTAATTACTCTGACAACACAAAATGTGAAATTGTAATTTCACATTACAAAATTTCCAGATTGCTTTATAAATAAAAAAAGATCACATTTGAAAAAGACAAGCAGCTATGGTCTCTCCATAAAGAGATGACCAAAAAAAGTCAAAACTACCCTCGGTATTTCCCTCCACATCTTTCATTTTGTCTTCTTAATGCCTAAAAATGATATCAATATCAGATTTGTCAGTGAAGGAAACAAGCAATATATGCTACCGTTTTTTGGCAACCAAATTATTGGTGTTGAAAAATTTCGTGTTTTTTTTTTAACTAAACTTCCTTTTCTTCTTTGTCAACGACAGTTCATGTAGGCTACACTTACACTGGCCTGCAGCACCTAACAATACCCTTTGATTGTTGCCAACATTCTTACATGTCATGCAGTAAAATAAAAGTCGAATTTTTGTAACATTACGTATCCTGTTATGCATGAGACTAAGGTATGTTTCTGCAAACTAGCTATGAGGATATTATTCAATAGAAAACGTACTGCAAATCATTTATGTAGCTAAACATTAATCAGTATTATTCACTGTATTTTTATATAACTAAAACATTGTTCTATTTGAACTACATTCAAGTAAGCCTAAAAAAATTGACAATCAATTCTCATTAAAATTAAAACCCTGTAAATTAACCTCCCAAATAAATGCAATTGTCTTCATTTAAATTAATTTTGTAGTACGTTGAAAAAAAAAGCTAAATTTCTCGAAATTTGCATACACAAATCCTGAAATGAATGCAAACTTCAGAAAGGGACTGCTATAACCACATACAAACTAATTTTATCTTAATTTAATGAAAGACACATCACCAAACAGTTTTGATGACTTCATATTTAACATTCACAGGTAAATCAGTCAATGGTGACAAGAAGAAAGAAGCGTTCACTCGCCAAGCATTGCTAGAAACCCTCCAGGATCCTCCAAATTCCACCACAGTACAATCAAGTCTTTTTGTAAAATAAGAGTGACTGAGCTCTCTGCCTTCCTGAATTCTTTAAAAATCCTGGTGGATTTTGAAGCATCAGGGAGGGTAGGGGTTATGCCTAGGCATAATTTGAAAAACAAAGGGCCACACAAAATAGCTTTTTGGTCAGACCTATTTGATATAAACAACTATAATTCAACAGATGATGTCAGTGGTATCGTACCGATCTGCCATTGCTTCTATGCCACATTCTAATAGTGATCTTAACCTGTATAATGACAGGCATGCAACTTTTCCTCGGATCAGCTGATTTCCTCTTTTTTTTTTACTTCCCATGTGTGCCATTGAAAATAGCAAAAACACTGTACAAAGTCTGGGAAAGATTTGAATTTCCTCTTTTTTATGACTTCCCAGTTGCATGCCTGATAATGACCGGAACAGTTTGAACTCAAAATAGAGGGGCCTACCCAAAACAGCTAGTATTTACCTCCTGTTTTTGGAACAAATGAAATACAAGGTTTTTAATTTGATTTTACATAGTATAGGAATACAGCTTTTCAAAATAGATTACCAGATTGTGTCCTTTCATTTGTCTGAAATTTCAGTATTTGGAAAAAAATTACACCAAACTTTATTTTTTCAGGAAACTATTCCGGGATTATATCATCGTACACTTAAAAATTCTGCAACGAAGAAATGTAGACACTGGCACAAGCAAAAAGACAGGAATAATGAAATAAGGTAGTTGTGGCAATGGTGGCCTTGAGGTATGTCGTTATAAAGGTGGGTAAACTAGGGGTGTGGTACAATGGGTGTGGCACATACGTAGGGCAGGAATACATGTAAGGTGGGGTACAAGTAGGGGCGTGGCAATATCAAGAGGGTGTGGCATCTGCAGGAGTGACATATGGACACACTTTTAGGTGTGGCACTTGAAGGGGTGTGGCCATAGCACACAGAATGGGATTGGTAAAGGTAGCTTGTGGCAACATTACACTCTTGGGTTGGCCCTAGGTAGGGGGATGAACTGGTAATTGTGCAACCACAGCACAGGGAGCAAATAAGATTAGGAGGGGCGTGGCAACAACATATCAAAGACAAAGCAAAAGGGGCGTGGCAATAATGCAATGGAGGTATGGCATCACATTAATTTGAGTAAGAAAATGAGGCATCGTCTTCCGGATATGACCAACAACAAAACTGCACTCTGCCAACTAAATTAGGACACAAGACCTAACTCATTCGTAACCCCAAAATTACACGACCATTAACAATTCTTAAAACATAAAAAATAAACTTTACATAATGTATAACATTTCTTCAGCATTCCATGCAAAAAAAATAACCAACTAGGTATTTCATAAATTGGCGTCCATCCTAAACAATAAATTAAATTTGTGTAGCTATTTTGAACAATAATACAACCACCTGTATATACAGAGAGAAGAATATCTTTCATAATAAAAGTTATAATTTTTTTTTCGTTTAAGGACGAATCAGGAAAAAAACACCGATGAGAATTTGTACATTCTAGCTTGGATATTGCAGACAGTTTTGCGTTCTTCTCACCTAATTATAAAACTCTACACCACACATCCTAAATATAAAGTTCTATCATTCATTTTTTTTTTTAAAGTTTAAATTTCACATTTGATATTATTATTTATACTGACATGACTTAATATAATGAATTACTTTGACTAATACCCAAATTCCCTCTTAAATCTAACGTAAAATGCAACACTGTACCCCCGACTACTAAATAAAAAAGTATGAAACTAGTACGAAACTAGGTCTTCTTTTATCTTTTTCAAGGGCTTGACACTCTCCAAAATACCAAAAATATTACAAAATAACATCGGTAATAAATAAAATTCTACTAAACCGAACCGTAACGAGCCCTGTATGCAAAACGAACTATGAACAGTATGTACAAGCATGACAAGTAAACCATGAATACGGCCAATGACTTCACTATGAACACTTTGTCAATAGTGCCTGTTCAAACTCTATCATGCATTGGGTATGCATTTTTTTTCCTTTCGCAAAAACATGTGAGGCGACTGAAATGGCTCTTTTACGTGAAGAAAAATGAAGAGGGAAACAGAGGCGAGTTCCATTATTCCCCACGATACTTTGACGACAAAACTCCTTTGGTAGTGACTTTTAGCTAAGATTTGGAGAAAAAAAAATACACCCCAACGTTATTTACAATGCATAAGTCTACCGGTATCAAACAAAAACCAATAATGCATTCGGATTTCAAATAAACAGTGAACACATTTGCTATCAAAACAAATTCTTTAAATTTCCTGGGGGGGGGGGGGGGTCGGAAGATGGGGCGATACAATGCACCATGTATACAGAATTTCTTTGAAAAAAGATCCTACGAATGTATCTTTATCATAAACAAATATATGTACACTGCATCAAAAATGATTCATTATATATAACCTTTTAAAACGTCGGATTATCCCTATGTACCTATGAAACACAGAATACACACAGTACGTAACGTTTGGTTTACTGGGATTTCAAATACCTAGACATGTTAGCGTTCTTGTCTTGTCTATTTACACATTTTTATTTATTTATTTATTTTTTTTAATTTTTTTTTAGTCAAGGTTATGGTCTCTGTTAACTGTATCTCATTACTTGACTGTACATATTTACAACGTGCGTTTTTGTCAGTCCGAATTCAACTTCCGTGATGATATTTGAGGAAAACATACTTTTTTCTACTTTCCAAAAAATGCAAATTTTCTCAGCGAAGGACTCATTCATGGATCTCTCCCAATGAACAAAGTAAGCGGAAATATACAACACTTCTAGTTAAATTCTTCAGAATTAAAACGTGAAATTTTTAAGAACAGTACTGGACATAACATTTGGTTTATTTTATTCAAATACTTAATCTAGAATTTTTTTTCTCTTGAAAAAAATTAGCACACAATGATATGAATAAAAAAATTCTCAAGGTATTTGAATACAATTACTAACGAATACAATTTCTCTTCAACTTTGCTTTGAATTACAGTTCCAAAAATGAGAAGAAAAATGACAAATTGACCTTTAAAATTCAGGCCAATATTTGTGGTGGTCTTTGAATCAAGGGAGTACAAGAATACTAGAGTTTTGGATTTTCCTGATTTTTTTTTTCCAAAACGGTTTTGGCAAGAAATATAATACAGAAAGTGGAGGCTCTGAATTCAATAAAAGATTCCACATAAATGATGAAAATGATGACGATTCAATAAATAATTTTCAATATTGATTCACTTTTGCAGCACACATCAGAAAAATACTACTGCGTAGAAGTTTGGAGAAATTCAACCACTGGCTTTTTCCTTTGGATCCATACGGATATCTCTAAAAGCTGAATTTCTAATAATCATTCAACCAAAAAAAAAAAAATTAAAACTCCATTTTTCCATATTATAAAACTCTTATAAAACTCCAATTTCATATCCCTCATGCACAGAACTAATGGCTCTTTCCATTTTTTTTTAACAGAAAAATCATTAATTATATTTCCTAAAAACATTTTTGGCCGAATATATATACCTTACTGAACAACAACTGATGGTAGTGAACAAAGGTTTCTTTTAATTCTTCTTCAATGGAGGTAACAAAATAATTGTAGTCGTTGTAATTCTCACTGAAAAAAAACCCACAAGCAGACGAGATCATGAATTCTGACTAAGTTTCGACCGAATTAAAACAAATACAAGTGTTGAAGGACAAATTACCATTTTGAATGTGTATCAGCAATGATCATTTCTTATTTAATAAACACCAAGTCCTTTCGAAACATAAGTTTTTAAACGGAGAGTACAAATGAACTGCAGTTGACACCCATATTTCAGTTTCCAATCCGTCTGGTTCCCTTCTTGATTCAATGTCACTACGTGTGTTGGAGGGTGAGGGTGAGGGTGACAGACTGGCGGGGTAAGTCTCAGTGTAGCGTCTTTGGATGTTTCATTGTCGTAAGGTCTCAACAAATTGGTCAGGTCTCATACCACAGCCTCGACTTTGCTGTTGGAGTTATTGGTCTCTGTCAACTTGGCCTTGTGCGCTTCAATCATCTGTTGAATGACATCGAATCAAAGCTCGTTGAAAGCAACCATTCAAACAAACTTTTGCATTCCCCATGTTATTTTTGAGTTTCATCCCGAAAATAAAGAGATCCCTTTTCGAAATTGCTATTTTTCTTGTTATTCCCTTTTGAATGAGACATTGACCGAAACATTCGGCCCATGTTTAGGAATTGATTTGTTACTTTACAAAAGCAAATTATTGGCTACCAGACAATAATTTAATAATCGATAATGTACGGACCGGGAACCAGTCTGCTCACAAAGTGGATCTGTTTGTGTACAAAATTAAAAACCCTTTATTTCAGAGTGTTACAGACGTCCAAAGAAGGGAAAAAAGAGGTTTTTTTCGGTTGGAATAACACATACAAGTTGAAAAGTTATCAATGGAAGAAAAACAAAAATGGTTGAAGAGCACGGGGAATGCAACTTTAATGCTACATATTTGGGAGGGGAATAATGCAAATCAAAGTATTGCACACGCAAAGAACTGTGGTATAGAATTTTGGACAGACAAATCCACAGTTGTACTTGCTGTCCAGGAAACAAACAAAAGCATAATGTTTGATCATTTATAAATACGTATCAAGGCCAGTTGGTAGATGCGGAAGTGAAACCCTGATTCGGGGTTTGAGCAAAATGGAGCAAATTGTTGGATTGGAGCAAAATATGACGCATACTTTTGTTTTGCATTGTGCAGATGGAAATTAAATATTGGGTTTTGACGTAGTTTGTATAAACACTGTATACTCCGTGTTGTCTGTCGGCTTGCATGAAAACAACTCACAAGCGAACTCCGATGGGACTGGAACCCACGACCTGCTGGAGCAGACGTCTTGCCACTCGACCGCCGAGCTCAATCTGGGAACCTTTTACATTGTTTTTTTCCCCCCAGCTTTCACTCGGGAGGCAACACACTGAGTATACAGTGTTTAAACGTCGGTGAAGGGCAAAACCTAATTTGACTTTTACATTGTGAAAAAACAAAACAAGCGAATAGCCCTTGTCCCTCATTGATAACATACCTCTTCATTGGCCCTGATGAGTAAATCCATCTGCTTGTTGTGCTCGGCCGTCAACTCATCGTTTTCTTTGGACTGTCTCACTTGTAACTGAAACAAAAATCAGACACCAGTGACAGTTTCAGAGACAAAGAGAAACATGGAGTGCAAAGCTGAACCAGAAGGATCAATTTAAGAGTTTGTGACATTATTGCCTACCCCTGTAATACTGGGGGACGACTGCACTAAGGCCTGTATCAGAATTATACACTTGTAGATGTCAGATGTAACAGGGACAGGACAAAAAGCTGACCCCAAATTTATACAACTAGTGCAGTGCCCGTTCAAAACGTGCCTGTTTGGAACGGGCAAATTGCTTGGCCGCTGGTAGACCCGCAAACGTGGCAGTATAGAGTGCAGTGCCCGTATAACAGCGCACCATATCTACACCTCACTGTTGCACGACCCTCCCCTTAAAAAAAAATGGTCAAGGCCCAATTCACCATTGCGCGATCTTCCCCCTTCAAGAAATGGTTGAGCCCATACAGCCAACCACCATTTGCACGTTTGTTAACCCGTACCCTAGTCTGAGTATCACCCGTTCTCCACGGAGCCGATGTCACATGAAAATCCGACTCCTATGAAAATCGGACCCCTATTTCCCTATAATTGGTGATCCCTCACACGTGACAGGTCACTCTCCCGAAACGATCCTAAAAATAGCATAGTATCGTACTCACGCGTGCGCAGTACTACCAATGAGTCCACATTTCATGGAGTCGGATATTCACGCTACACCGGCCCTATCTCCGGTTTCGTAGGGTCGATTACAGAGACTACCCGTACCCGTGGCGCCGTATAGAGTGCAGTGCCCATTCAAAATGTGCAGCAGTACAGTGCGTGGCACAGTCTGTATACATGTATACACATTTGTATAGATTAGGCCTCTAGTATTGCTGATTTTTTTGCAGCTTTTTTGAGAACAGCCCATCCAAACAACTTCAAACTTGACACTGCACATTCTGGGGTCCTGAGCAATACACCTGCCGATTGTCAACTTCATACAGTGCCCGGATCTGGAGATAATCGAAATACAGACAGACAGACACACAGACAAACAGAGATTTCTGGAATTATAGTTAGAGGACCCATATGCTTAGCCAATACATAGGCTTGTAATTGTGCCTGTCAGCGACGTCGTTTTAATACCTTTTGATTGAAACATTTCAACTGGTAGTCAAATACAACCAACACAGACAACAACCACGGATAAGTTTCAGAAAAGCAGCTTTGAACTGTCTGTGTGTCTCTATATTTGTTGTTGTAAACTCGATTCACAAGTGGCACAAGTGAGTGGATTGAAATTTAGAAATGGGGAAAATATTAATTTACCAGTTAGTTAATTACTTAACAAGTAAATGGCAAGACAATGCATTTCCGAACTTACTCTCTTCCTTTCCTCCATAAATTTCTTAAGACTGTTGCTCTGCAATTCTCGAATTCTCCTGCAATGAAACGCATCAAAATGTTTGAAATAATAAGTTCCAAATTCCAGATGTTTCTTTGGAAACAAAGAAATTTCAGTCATTTAGGAGCTTTGCAAGTGAAAAGCTTAGATGATGGACAAAAATCTGGCCGTGAAATAGTGGTGTGCATTTACGGGTCCCGGGTACCCCATAGGGATCACTCAATTACGGCCATCTCTGTAGGAGACCTGCAACTGCGTATTTTACGCAATCAAGCACGCATTATGCAGTGTTGAAAATGTTCCAAACACGTGCGCTTATTGCTCAAATGTGTTCGAAATACGACGAAGCTGATGCGCGTTATGCAAGTTGACAATCAAAATGCCGATGCACGTGGATGGTCTGTAGGAAATGACGTCATTTGAACGAGACCTATTGAAGTATAACCTAAAAGAAACCCCGCCCAAAAATTCAAATCCCGGAAGTTGTCTGAAGGGCTTTATAGCTTTACGGTGTAAACTTCAACTTTCGTGAGTGGCGTCTATCGCACGTTAAACTGCGCATAAACATGAAATCTGTTTTGGTTTTCCATGTAGCCTGGTTTTCATTTTGAGATTCCCCACAAATGGCATTCAAAACCTTTGTTTTACATAGTCTGAGAAGTTATTAAGTAATATGTAAAGTTGGTTACAGGTATCCGATCCCATGATCTGGAACCGGTTCCTGACATTAGCGGTCGAGTACTCCTTACCCGGTTCCAATGCACAGCCGTTATTTGAAACCATGTGTGATGATGAACAACACAAATCCTTCCTTCAAAAACAGTGAGCAATGTTTTTACAAAAAGTTCCATGTAGCAAAACTGTTTTGTATTTTTTGTGTGGTACTCTGTGAGATTTAAAAAAACAAAAAGAAGTTCAATTGTCTAGGATTTTCTGATACGATCTGAGAGAAATCGCTCACTTTCAAAGTCATTTCCTCAAACTAAAAAAAAAAAAATCAAATAAACCCCACATGCTAACGGCTTACTAAATGTAAACCAAAACTTCAAAGATTTAAAAAAAAAAATATTCCTGGCATCCTGGCAAAATGAGACAGAACTGGGCAGAGGTCGAAATGAGGGTGTGCGAGTATTAGGAAAGAGAATAAAATTCTCCTTACAACGCTGTTTGTTGCACTTTAATCGGACATTCCGTTGACAAATTATGGCTGTTTGCATTAACATGTCAATACTGAGAATACTGAGAAAAAGGCCTTTAAAGTTGAGAGATTTGTAGTCGTGGGCATGAAAGATGTCAATTGTTTTTTCTATATCAAAGATTACAAACATCAATAAATCTGAAAAGCGAAAAAACATCCCTCCCATTTGGTTTTGGGGGGGGGGGCATTTTTCTCCACTATGGCATTTGCCAAGTTCCGTCTCATTTTGCCTGATATATTAAAGGCCTGATTTTGTCGACTGTCTGCATGGTTGGGCTTCCTTTCCTACCTGTCTTTCTCAGCTTTATTCTTGATACTCTTGTCATGACTAACCAACTTCTTGGATTCCATGGACATCTTGCACTGGTTCGCCTCTAGGTCCTTCATCTCCCTGTTGAAATAACAGAAATTAAATTCTTATTCCCCTATAGTATCACTTGTATTTATCCCAAATGTAACGTACTGAATTATTATCAAAAAGCTTACTTAGATTAATGATCGTACTGGTACTAAACACCCTGAGAAATTAGTCCATCTGGCTTACTGTCATTTAGAAGAAATCACAAAATGTTGGTGATTTCCAACGATCAGTCAATTGACTTATTTTTGGAATAAAGAGTGTTAATGACGATATTGTGCTTCTTGGTTTTTGATCCAGGGTTGGAAAAACTTTTTGAAATCTCTGATCTCAGTTAAGTGAAAACTGTTTCTGTCTTTAACATAACCAGAGCCTTTGAAGTCCATCTTTTGCAACTTTCAGCGTTTCTGCTCCTATCGCTTGATGGCTGCAACAGTCACCAAAAGTTTCTTCTTCTTTTTTAATTTTACAAAGTTGAAGTATTATTATTTTTTAAATTAAACAATAATTTTTTTTTTTTTTAAAGTTTAAATTCATGTATGGATAACTACTGACAGATTTAAAGGGAATATACAACATTTGCAAACATCGAAAAAACAAAATACCAAATTTTTACGAAATACCTAGTAGGATGTTGGTAAATTACGGTCTTAAGCATGTTGTAAAATTATGGCACCTGGTGTGAAGTCATTTTCAAGAAAAGTGGTATTTTATTGTAAATTTCCAACGGTGGTCGGCCGACCACCGTTGGAAAAACCTAACTATTTTTCAACTACTGCTCCAAATTTACCATTTTTTCAGTCCAAATTTTGTTTGCTATTGGTTACATGTTCATGAACGGGTGCAGGCCAGCTAGACTGGTTCCCTTACCTTACAGTTTTCCGGCATCTATGAATTGATCCATATCATCTTTAGTGGAGTCAGGGAACCAGACTACTTGAACATTTTAGTTTTTCTTGGTTTTTCCAGCACTTTTGAACACAAAACTTCAAACATGTCAGTGTAACAATATTTGATCTATTATACTAACCCCTCATATCGTTCATTACTGAAAATTACAGCAAAAGCCAATGATGTACATTCCCTTTAAAATGGACAAATGTTTTCCTGAAGGCTTTCATTTTTGGGGGGATAGTTTTTATTCTATGGAGTATTCTTTCTGTCTATGGCTAAGATGCCCAAGTCTCATCTCACCGTGCATGTTTGGCTTCCAGTGTCTTGCGTTGGTCAATCTGTTTCTGTGTCATCAGCTTCCTGAGGACATCGCATTGTTGATAGACGTGGGTCTCCTTCAGCGCGTTTATCTCCGCTGTCTGGCGAGCCGTGACTTTACACCATTCCTTGCCTTGCTCCGACACCACGCCCTTAACCTGAGTGGGATTAGAAATCACAAATTACTATGAACGATCCCACTCAAAAGTCACGCAGTTACGAACACTCAACTCCAGAAACATTGAATATGACGTGGCCTAGTAGTCGTCACCTTGTAATGAAGGGATTCTTCTAACTTATCAAATACTTAATCCCACATTAAAGTGCTCTTCGACGAATTCAAATTTCTACTAATAACTTTTTAACTTGTATGTTTTATTTCAACCGAAAAACATTTCCCCCCCCCCCCTTTTTTGGGGCAATAAATAAATGTTACTTACCCTTATCTTGTGAACCTTAACGATAGAATGGACCTTGTTCTCCGTCTCAATCTTGAGATCGCTGCAGTTGCTCTCTCTACGGAACATAAAGAAGGCAGCAAGTGTCATTAAGAAGACGACTTAACATCTAGAACCAGACAACCCAGAGGAACAAGATTGGCTATAACATTACCATTGCCGCCTCAGTGCACAAGTACCCCCTCAACGGCTAAAAGGGGGAGTTGGTAGCAACCACTGGGAGGCACTCGTAAACGCATATCATATTACTGAGTTCGAGTCCTACCTGGGTCATGGTTCATGTGCCCTTGGGCAAGGCACTTTGTCACTCATTACTTCTTCTCCACCCAGGAGTAAATGGGTACCTGTGCGGGCAGAGATGGTTATTGTGACTGATTTTAGCTGCTTTGCGCCGAAATAGCAGCATCGAGATGCCTAGCTAGACAGCCCAGCAAAAAGACAGCTACGCTCACCCCTTTTTCTTGATGGCCTTCTCCAGTGATTTCTCTTCGGTGAGTTTCTCCTTGTCGTGGGACACCGCCATCTTGTCCACAGCAGTGTCATGTGTCCTCTTTACCGACGTGCACTCCTGCAGGACGCAACATTTGCATTATTTTACTCAAGTCGTCATCAACGCAGATATTGAATAAGAGTTTTCATTACATGTCAATACCACTTTTTATGGAAATTTGTGGCAAGATGGTTGGGCGTGATGTATTCATTTGTCCATAGCCAGTCAGTCAATGGACACAACTTGGACACGTGGCTCAAGACGCACATACGCCAAAGTGGCACAAACCTTTCCCTTCTGGGTCACTATCAAATTCCCGGAGTTTTCCCTGATTGTTGGTGGTTTTCCCAAATTCACTGGGTTTTCCCCTAAACTGGTGAAACGGAAACCTCATTTTCAAGGTTTCCCCTGATTTCTAGAGTGGATAGGAACCCTGTATGGCACTTTTCATTTCAGCTTTTCAGTGTAAATCAGCCCCTCACCCAGAGGTGTAATGACTCGAGTCAATGCCTCGACTCGAGTCCGACTCGACTCACAATTTTTGGGTGACTCGACTCGAGTCCCTAAGGGCAAATGACTTGACTCGACTCGAGTCCCTCATCAGAATGAGTCGACTCGACTCGACGAAGGCTAATCAGACTCGAGTCCCAAAAACAAAAGCAAAACTTTGCGAAAAATATTTGCAATGACTTATGCCGGTGACAGTTTTTGTTCACGTCACGTTAGAATGTTCGCGAATAATGTATACATATACATATGTGGTTTGATCAGTGTCCCCATTAGTTGAATGGCGATCAGCTGGCACCCCCTTTTTTATTTTCATTAGGAGTCAAATGTGGTGTCACCACATGTTTTAGCCCGAATGTAAAATTAAAAAAGCCAAAAAATGACTTTTCTCTCTTGTGTTTATTTATTGTATAGTGTTCAAATATTTGTGACTCAAATTGACTCGAGCTAAATACTTGACTCAACTCGACTCGACTCGACCACACACTGTGACTCGACTCGACTTGACTCGACCTTCTTGACCTTATGACTCGACTTGAGTCACTTCTTTAAAATGACTCGACTCGAATCGAGTCACAAAAAACAGTGACTGGTTACAACTCTGCCCTGACCTTGGAATGTTTCCTCTGTAAGCTCTCGATCTCCCTGCTCTGCTTCTTCAGGACCTTCTGGTAAACCTTGTCCTTCTGCAGCGTATCTGTTGACAGGATCAGCATCACGGCTACGAGAGAAAATGCACAAATCAAAGACAGCTGAAAAGACTTCCCTTAAACATTTGACACAAAAACATAGTGACATTTAGACCCAAGGTTCAAAAGACAGAAAGAAACAGCGTATAAATATTGAGTGGCTCAAAGTGGAATGGGAGAAATATTATTCCAAGGTATAATCTGGACTTTTCTTATTTCGTAAGGCAAAGCCGAGTGAGATGAAAAAGTCCAGATTTTACCGAGCGATAACATTCCTCCCATTTCACAATTTAAAGCCACTTAATATTTTTTTTATATAGCTAACATAGATCCTTGTCATTTGATTTGCAGTAACAATGAACTTCTATTTCAATACAAAATTGGTGGGAAATGTATTTCTCTCTTCCAAACCACCCCTTCACGATATATTTCAACCCAACTCTGTAGCTACTGGCTCTTGGGAACAATACGCGCTACGCGCAACGCGCACACCAGCATGCTTTTGCACACAAATACCGTGCCCAGGAACAAGGATGATCCCAACTGTTGAATAGTAAATCCCATTCACCATGGGCGGATGGGACTTTTTGAACCCCGGCGTGAATGGGAGCAATAATAAATGTCACGTGATGTTCATTCATTCATTCATTCATATTGGTTTATTTCATCCATTATCGCAGTTAAAAACTGAATTGCAATGGATTTAACAAAATAATAAATTATTTAACACCAAATCAACAAATTATTTGACAACAATCACCATTACAATTACACACACAAACAAAAAACCATTAAAAAACGAACAATGACTTTTACAGTTCACGTGTACAAAGCATACTGTTAAAAACATGTCCATTACAATTTACATATCGAAAAATTAAAATTATTATTATTGGTTGTGCAATCTGATTAAGGTAGGAAGCGCACTGGTATAATAACGTTTTGTTCGGCAACGGATTTCAGGGATGGATGGTTTATTCCGCAGCATTCTAGTATGTTGAGGCGGAAAGAATTCACGAAAAAGATCAGTGTGTTTAAGGGTTTTGTTGAAAAAGGATAATGATATTTGATTACGTCTGTTTGCCAAAGAATCTAAGCTGAAATGCGATAAAGCTTGGGTGTATGACAAATACTCGACCCCAAGAATAATCTTCAAGGCACGTTTCTGTACTTTTTCAAGCCGAGTCACCTGATGCTGGGTAAGTGCTCCGTTCCACACAGGGGCTGCATACTCCACCAATGGTCTGATGAAGCTCTTATAGAGGGTTATGAGATCACTGTGAGGCAAACCGTAACTTTTGAGAACCCTTAACATGTGGATTTTACCATTAGCACGTTTGACAATGCTGTCCACATTTTTGTCCCATTTGAGATCACTTTGGATAGTAACCCCCAAAACCTTGATATGTGATGTAATACAGAGTTCATAATCATCAACAGAAATAACAGGCATTACAGGGCTATTTCTAGAGAAATCAATATTCATTTGAAAGCACTTACTAGGATTTAATTTCATGCTATTTTGCATAGACCAATTTGTTAGGCCGTCAATGGCGTCCTGCAAGCAAGAATTCTGCGAAGATGGTCTACACTCAACAATCGATAAATCATCAACATATTTGAACACGACCAGGTTATCACCCTCAAGTCTGACATCATTGATCATAACTAAAAATAAAATAGGGCCAAGTTTGGTTCCCTGAGGGACTCCGGCATTTAAGGTCAACCAACTGGAACATATTGAGTGGTAACGAACACACTGTTCTCTAGCGGTTAAGAAGTCAGCTATCCATGGAATGATAGAAGGGCGCACTTCCAAATGGATTAACTTATTCAACACTATTGTGTGATTAATCCTATCAAATGCTTTTGAAAAATCTGTGGTAGTCACAGTAGCAACCGATCTTGATTTATCAGCATTTCGATACAACAGGTGAAGCATATTGATCAAATAATGATTTGTGGAGAAATGTTTGCGGTTTCCAAACTGGGCAGGGTCCAATCTGGGGCCAATGTCCTCCAACAACCACTTCGCAATAAATCCCTCCGCAACCTTTGCGAAGTGGTTAGTCAGAGATATCGGTCTTAACTTGTCAACAGAGGGTGGGCTGGACTTGGGTATGGGTATCACAATAGCTCGTTTCCAATCTTCGGGCACTCTTCCTTGTTGGAAGGATTTATTCAAAATATGAGTAAGGGGAGTAGCGAGTTCGATGGCAAAATGATTAATAAACCGTGCAGTAATATTGTCAGGCCCACCAGCTGTAGACAGTTTAATAGTTTGGAGCGACTTATAAACATCCCATGGATACAAATACGGGCAAGGTTGGGAAGAGGGTAAATATGCTGGGAGTCTACTAAGGTCAACACAATCCATATCTGATGCAACTGATACAAAATGTTCATTAATAGTAGATGCTATCATGAACGCATTATCTGGATCAACTCCTGGAATATACACTGACGGATGGTCTTTGTCATTACCAGTAAGCATGCGAATTCGGTGAAACCAAGCCGATGGTTTACTCTGTTTGAGTTTTGCAACCCGAGTGGCATAATACTGTTTCTTTGCCACGGCTATACCTGCTATAATCTTCGTCCGCAATCTTCTCCAGGAGACCATATCATTACAATGAAAAGCTACCTGTCGTGCTTTAATTAACCTTTTGATTTGTGGAGTCATCCAGGGTTTATCAGTAGTATGAATTTTGACTCTTTTAACCGGAAAATATAAATCAATCTTTGTGTTCAAGGTCTCAATAAACTTTTCATATTTTGTGTCAATATTAGTGTGATCTAACTCTTGAGCCCAGTCATAATTACTTATCCACATTCCAAAGGAACGCCTGGCACTCTCGGGCATAGGACGCCTCGAACACAATTTGCTTGCATTTTTAATTCGAGGATTATACACTGGGGTCCAAAGTACAGTGTTATGGTCTGACATGCCAACTGGTGATGTGATTTGGGGTATCGCATACTTATCACTCATATTCGTAATAATCTTATCAAGAATACTATTACCTCTAGTTGGTTGGTCCACAACTTGTTGAAAATGCTGATCTGCAATAAGTGGATTAATATTCAATTGATTAAAGTCTCCCAATATAACAAACCCAGCCTGTGGGTTGGAGACACTCAGATGATCCATAGTGCTCAATATGTGGTCAGTCATGACTTCCTCAACTTCAGAGTCCAGATGAGGGAAATAAACCACTGCACAAAATATACAAGAAACTGATCTTGGCAAACGATAGCGTGAGTTCCACCAATCAAATGACAAGGATCGGTATGTCAGTTATATAAAACAGACCGTTGCATCTCTTACAGTTGGTAGTTGGTGCAAAGCTGTTCACTGATTGGGTGGGCGTAGTGGGGGACTTCGCTCCTTGCTTCAGGGTGGATTTGCTGCTTTTCTTTCCTCCTAATGGTACTTCACTGATGTCATTCTGGTATTAAGGAGAAAAAAACAAAGGTGAAATAATTCTTATAGTTTCCTCAAAAATAGCCTCATTTCTGGGCCGTGTCTGAATCTCTTGTCTAGAGCTTTTGGACTCAGTGCATGAAAACTTGATGGCATTTTGTGACCACTTGTGAGATCTCAACCGGGGGGCACACGCTGCATGCACGCACTGGTCTGCCCACAATTGGCAAAAAGTAGGCAGAATAATTGTATTCAATATGCATAAACTTGCAGCATCTTCCTGGGTAGCGCCAGTATCACAACTCCAGTGGTACCACTTATGATTATTTACGTTTTTCCTTTGAATCACTTCAAGACACTTAGATTTTCGTTCTCTTTTCCCTTAAATTAAAATTATCTCAACGATAAACTCAGAGAAGAAAAATAGCCGATGAAGATGAGCAGCGACGACGTGGATTCAAACCAGGGATCTTTGTATCCATAGCTCATCTCGCTATCCACCATGCCACTCCGTGGTAGCTCGACGACAACCGTTCTTAAAAATGCTTTAATGTAACGGGTTGACTAAATAACAACAATGCTCTTGGTATCATTGTTCTGTTCTCATGAATAAACATACTGACCCGTTGACATACGAATAAATTATCATAAGTGGTACCACTGGAGTTGTGATACTGGCCCTACCATCTTCCTGAGCATCAGGTACTGTCAGCAAAGGCCAAGTTCGGGCAAGGACCATTAGTCGACTAGTGGTTGATTTGTGACGTACCTTACGCCTGCGCACTAATAGCAACGTGCGAACGTCTCTAGTCAAACGCTGGTCAAAATGTCATCGCAAAACTTCTGGATCCTGGCTCTCTGCTAGCGTTATGGATGCGCGCGGCTATTGGTTACCAGCGAAGCAACCAACCCCAGTAGGCTAGTTCCAAATAGTCGACTAGCGTAGTCAACCATCGTCTACTAGACAGAGTTTGGGCAAACGTTAGTTAACCATTGGTCAACTATAGTCCTTGCGCGAACTTGGCCAGTGCAGGCATGAGTCCCTGCCAGTGGTCTCCCCAACCATGGGCTCCTTGCACAAATACCCCCTCAACGGTAAGAAATGGAGAGTTGGGGGAGACCACTGGGAGAGACATTCGAGCGCACTGTCGAGGACGTCTGGCGCTCAAGCGGAGATGCTTTGGCTTTTTGCACATTCAGCATAAAATTTGTCGTGCTTATTTCACACAAGCGTTGTGTCTCGTCCAAGGGGCTTTGAAAGTGGTGCAAAACGCCCTCTCTTGTTCGAGCAAGGAACCCATTTCATTGGCAATCCTTTCAGAGGTATGAATATAATTGATCCATTCAATTAAACGTTTGACCCACAAACATTTCTGCAAGTATTGCTTTTAAAGGAATACAAAAGCAAAAACAAACCAAAGAACACACACCCATATAGAAATTAGACTGAAAAATAAAAATCTGACCCACTTTAATCTATAAAACGGTTAGAAAAAAGGACCTATAAGGCCAAAAAAAAAAAGTCTCCGGTTTCTGGTATGCGCGCGCGTCGCCGTAGCCATGCGCGTCGGCAAAATGAAAAAGTTTTTTTTTCAATGAAAGATGATGTCTCAAAACCGCCAAACTCACTGGTTTGACTGGAATCTTGCTGCTGCACAATTTTAACGTGTTTTTAGGTTGGGTTATGGTCGAGAATAAGCTTTATGTGGCCTCTCTGGACTCCCATACATTTGCACTAAGTTTAGTCGGGCACCATTTGCAGTCATCAGCCGACATTTGAAGCAAAAAAATCAGGTAAAAAAAAAAAAAAAAAGCCGCGTCGCCGCACCACTTTTTGGGCAAGCTCCATACCAGAAACCGGAGACTTTTTTTTTTGACTGTCCATGACTACTAAACAGATTGAAACAAAATTCGCACTAAATCAAGTCTAACCTAAAGCACCATGCTTTACTTTATCAGACATGCAACCGGGAAGTCGCAAAAAAAAAAAGAGAGGAAAGTCCAATTTTTACAAGACTTTCTGCAGTGCTGTTTTCAATTTTAATATGTGAAAAAAGGAGGAAATCAGCTGATGCGAGGAAAAGTTGCATGCCTGTTTTCTCAGCATCCCTATATGATGGAAACTAAGAAATGCTCAAGAAATTACAAGTGATGAATCAAAACGCTGGGCAATATTATTCTTCTTCTTCATTCATTCATTTGCATGATGACTTGATGAGTTGGGCCCAACTGTCCCTGTCGAGCATAGTGTTGGAAAGAGATGGACCACTCAGACCAGTTTCTAGCTCGATGGATGTTTTCAGGGTCATGTTGGGACAACCTTTAAATATTGCTTAAATATAATACCAACCTCTTCAATGCCCATGGACTGCATCTGTTTGGCTCTCTTCTCAGCTTGGGATAAGTACTCCAGCGGTTTGGACAATGCATCCACAAAATCTAGAGAACGGAAAGACATTCCCGCCAGGTATCACTTGGGGTAATGATAACACTGCATTCTATCCACTGTAGGATCAGGGTGAAATTTTAACATTTTCTTGTTTCAGAAATACGCATCCAATAAACTTGCATGACTTTTCCAGGTTTTTTTGATAATAATAATAATAATAACGGAGTCTTATATAGCGCACGTATCTACCAACAATTAGGTGCTCAAGGCCCTGGAGATTATGTCTATTATTAAAGACAGGTAAATAAAGTATATGAGAAATATGGGACTCATTATGTAGCACCTTATAAGGGTGTACAAGGTGCTGCGGCGCATATTGCAGCCACTGCCAGAAACACTGGGGCAAACCCCTTATCTTAGCGATAAGTGTTACTGGGTTCTTTAACGTGCATTACACAACACACGGGACCTATGGTTTTACGTCCCATCCGAAGGATGAAGCAATAATGGTAAAGTGCCTTGCTTAAGAGCACAAGCACCATGTTCCCACGGTCAGGATTCGAACTCATGTACCACGGCACACATATCGAACTCTGTAACCATTGGACCACAGCACCCCATACGGGCTGCAGGAACCCTGCTATTGTTCCAATGTGGCGATTTTGTGCAAAAAGAAAACAATGGCACAATTTTTCTTTTTTTTCTGGGGTCACTAGACGTGACTCACCTCCCAGGCCATCCGGTACGTAGGTCTTGAGCTGAATGCAGCAGAAGACTGTGGGCAGAGACAGAGGGAAGTTGCCTTCTGTCCGTAGTGATATGTGTCGATAGCCGGCTTGCAAGCCGTCCAGAGGTAATATCCTCTGACCAATCAGCTTGCCGTTCTCCTCATACACGGCAATTCTCAGGACGGCCAGATCCGGTAATACGACCTACACAAGACAAGAGACAACGTAATTGATAGAATCTTAAGATGACCAAACTGTATATTGAGCGAGAGAAATTGACCCAAACTTTAAAGGGAATGTACAACATTTGCTTTTGCTGCAATTTTCAGAAATAAGTGTATTTGGAGGATTAGTATGTTATGGCAAATATTGTTAAAATGACTTGTTTCACATTTTGGGCTTGAAGATGCTGGAAACACCAAGAAAACCAATCATATTCTTGTAGTCTGGTTCCCTGACCCCATTTAAGATGAAACGGAGCAGTTTATAGACTTTGGGGAATTGTGAGGTCAGAGAATCAGTCTAGCAGGCTTGTACCCCTTCATAGGTGTGTAATCAATTGCAAAGAAAATGCGGAAAAAGTAAATATTAAAAAGAAGGAGCCGTTTTTGAAAAAAAAAGCCAGATTTCTCCAACGCTGGTCAGCCAACCAGCTTTAGAAAAATACCATTTTTCTTAAAAATATCAACACACCAGGAGCCACAATTTTACAGGATGCTTTAGACTGTCATTCCCTAACAATCCAGTAAGGTATTTCGTGATAATTCAATCATTTCGTTTTGTGATGTTTGCAAATGTTATATCTTCCCTTTAAGGCTCTGGTTACCATATGTGAATAATCTTGGCTGACTACAGCAGCAAACTCTACCACTAAGAGACAGTGTAGATCATTGGTACATCTTATAACCCAGGATTTTTTGCTTACAGGATTCAAGCAGAATTTCTTAACAACCTGAGCCTGATTTCACGGCTCTGCTAACCACAGAATTCCATGCTTACGATCATCGTTCTGTGCTAACAGCGCTAGCAGACAAATTTTGTGCTTAACCATGTAAGCACAGAATCCTTAGTCACAGGATGTACATGTACGCATGCGCATAAGCTGAAATTCCTCGCTTACCCAAGAAATACGCTTACTGTAAGGCTAAAAAAAAAATAGTCAGTCTCTAGTCAGCACGCGTCGATTTTGATTGTGCGCGTCAATTTGCGCTAGCTACAACAGCGCCCTCTATTGAAATACATTGGCGAAGGGCAAAACCCCGAATTGAATTTGCATCACCCCTAAGCAAATTCCATTTTATGAAAGGTCACAAACTGCCAAATAGTCTACCAATACTGACAAAACAAGAATAGCACGACAAACCACCAACACGAAACTCACCTTTCTGAAGACAAAGGCTTCAGCGTTATAGACTGGATTGAGTCCGTTGTTGGGTACCGTCTTGGTCCTATGCTCTCTCCTAATGGTATCCGTTGGCAACCCGTACATGTCAACCTCAACATACGTACCCACTTTCTTGTCTGATAAAAACTGACCCGAGATGACCTGAAAAATAAGGGGGAAAAAACGTAAACTGCTTTGTTCAAAACTTGGGATTCTTGCTGAAATATACTACATTCTCCGCTGTTGTTTCATGGCCTAGCGGTTAAGAGCACTGCACCGGACTCTTGCTCTGGTGTTTCAGAGGCAGCAGAATGTGGGTTCCAGCCCGGGTCTGGACACTTGTGCCCTTAAGCAAGGCACTTAACCAATACTGCTTCGTCTTTCGGATGGGACGTAAAGCTGTAGGTCCCATGTGTTGTGTAATGCAATGCACGTAACAGAACCCAGTAACACTATTTACTAAGAGAAGGGGTTTGCCCTGATGTTTCTGGCCTCTTGTTAAAACTCCCCTGCGGAGTCCTTAGGAGAAGAACCAACCAAGTAACCAAGCTTTGTGTTACATTTTGCAGTGTTGTTTCTGAGTTCATCACAAGTCCTTTCACAAATCCTTTCACAATTCCAGTCACCAGTAATGGGATGAACAATGACAAAGGAATGCTTTTGTACCAGTTGAATAGCTAGTGACTTGATTTGAGACTGAAAGACTTGTGATGGACATGTGATGGACTTGTGATGGACTTGTGATGGACTTGTGATGGACTTGTGATGGACATGTGATGGACTTGTGATGGACTTGTTATAGACTTGTGATGGACTTGTGATGGACTTGTGATGGACTTGTGATGGACTTGTGATGGACTTGTGATGGACTTATGATGGACTAGTGATGGACTTGTGATGGACATGTGAAGGACTTGTGATGGACTTGTGATGGACATGTGATGGACTTGTGATGGACATGTGATGGACTTGTGATGGGCTTGTGACGGACTTGTGATGGGCTTGTGATGGACTTGTGATGGACTTGTGATGGACATGTGATGGACTTGTGATGGACTTGTGATGGACTTGCAGGGACTCAAATAGAACACTGACATTTTGTACTCTTGAAGGTACCGTTGTGCATGGGGTGCATAATGTTTGGTGGGCACATGAAATAACAAAGCTAATGGCAAGATGGTAGGAAGCAGCTTACCCTGACGGAGCAAGTGGCAGCAATGACTCCATCTACTGGGGATTCTGAGAAGGGATCAAAGGACTTGTCTGGTCGTCTCATGAAATCTGGCTTCAATAGAAAGCTGCAAAATATCACACAAATGTATTAGTATCATCGATTCCTATCCCACAAAAGTGATGCACGCGACGAAAACATTGTTGGTACCCGGCATTTTTTTGTATATCACCGTGATTGGAAAACACCGATAACTGAAATGACAGACTTGATTTCCAGGCTGAATGCTACGTGTCCTTGGCACATAACATGCCCGCACGTGAGGCGCCGTTGTATACTGCGTGCAAGTACGTTGGCCGCCTGTATCTCATGCAGGCTCGGCAACAACAAAGACTTGTTTTTAAGACTACTTCAACGAACAACGTTGTGCCGTGCGTGCGCAATCCTTACAACATGTATGCCTACTAAACTCGAGAGCGCTAACGAGGTAAAAAATCAACGAGAAAAAAAACCAGAATTTTGTGAGATTTTTTCTAAAACCGGAATTCCGGCTACAACCGGAAAAGCGGCATCTCTGAGTGACTCAGTCAGTCACTCATTCATTCAGTCAGTGACTCAGTCAGTCAGAAAAAAAGTAGGCCAAACCTTCAGGTCCAGCAAAAAAAAAAAAAAACTCACCCACAGGAGCCGTTGTACTCAAATTTTCCCTGATTGAGCTGCATGCCGATATCTGGCATTTGAAAATTCAAAGCAACCATCTGACAGCCAGCATTCCAGAAGATCTGAGGCATGTAATTGCTGGAGTCATAGCGGCCTCCTTTGGGGTAGATACGACTCATCTGACGCTTGTTGTAACTGGAGGAATTGGTGGTTAAGGAGAACTTGTATACAGAGAATTTGAGGAAGCACACAACAAAAAACCAAATTAGAGATAAGATACACTTGGATGACAGCACAGGATTACATATCTTGAGCCTACAGCTTGAGTAGCTCTTAGCCTTGTGAACTGGCAATACCTGTATAAAAGAATAATTTCTGTACACAGAAAGAGCAATCTCAACATTAGGGTTTTTTGTTATCATCACCATCAATTGGATTTCACACCATGTAATAATCCCTATTGGAGATACCCCAGTTCCCACATGGGATCACAATTCCCTAAATTTTGACTATGTGAGTGTCCCGAAGGTGACAAAAAAATAGAACAGTCCAAATTGTTGGGAAGAACCCTAATTTCATGTTGTTTACTTTTGTATCTTCTAAGACTACTGCATGACTTAAAGTCAAATAAATAAACAGCCAGCCAGCCAGCCAACCAACCAGCCAGCTAACCGGTTTGCAAGCCAACTACACAGTTTGCAAGCCAGCCAGCCAGTTAACTGGTTAACCAGTTTGCAGGGGAGCCAGCCAGCCAGCTAACCAATTTGCAAGCGAGCCAGCCAGCTAACTTGTTTGCAAGCCAGTCAGCCTGGGAACCAGTTTGCAAGCGAGCCAGCTAGCTAGCTAACCAGTTTGAAAGACAGGCAGCCAGCCAGGTAACCAGTTTGCATGGGAGCCAGCCAGCTAACTTGTTTGCAAGCCAGTCAGCCAGGAAACCAGTTTGCAAGCCAGCCAGCCAGCCAGCTAACCAGTTTGCAGGCCAGTCAGCCAGCTAACTTGTTCGCAAGCCAGCCAGCCAGGTAACCAGTTTGCAAGCCAGTCAGCCAGCCAGCTAACCAGTTTGCAAGCCATCCAGCCAACCAACCAGCCAGCAAGCCAGTCAACAAGCTATATGTCTCCAACATTACCAGCCCATCAGTGGTACCGCCAAGGCCATCCAAATTTCCACCATTATTAGATGACACTTTGTTTTCGTTCTCGGCAAAAAGATATAAAAGATATAATGACAATTCCAAACAAGTCTTTCAAAAAACACACGCAAGATCTCATCGAAAACAAACTTCTACAAAAACTAATTTCATTCCACAATAAGGATACTTGACGAATTCTATGCAGCTAGTCTTGATGTAGCCCAGGCCGACAGCCTCATTGAAGGAGGACATATTGAAATGAAAATTCCGTTCTGAAATGGAAGTTGAAGGATAAAAATTCAATCAGTAAATTTTCAGTCACAGTGCTACCACTGCAGAGCACGGAAAAGCTCAATTCCCAAAGGTCATGCATTGCAAATTCCCATAAAGTCATGCACTGCACAACTTTCCCAGAGAGACCTGCATACCACTCTTAGGCCAGAAAAAAAAGAAGGTAGGTTCCGGTTTCTGGTCTGCGCGCACGTCGCCGTAGCCATGCGCGTCGGCAAACTTAAAAAGTTGGGTTTTTTTTTTCAATGTAAGATGATGTCTCAAACCGCCAAACTCACTGGTTTGACTGGAATCCTGCTGCTGCACAATTTTAACGTGTTTTTAGATGGGGTTACGATTGAGTATAAGCTTTATGTGGCCTCTCTGGGCTCCCATACATTTTGCACTAAATTTAGTCGGGCACCATTTGCAGTCATCATGCGAAATTTGAAGAAAAAAAAAGTAAGAAAAAAAAAAAAAAAAGGCGGCGTCGCCGCACCACTTTGGGGGCAAGCTCCATACCAGAAACCGGAGACTTTTTTTGGGGGGGGGGGGGCCTTAAATATGGCACAATCTTTCATGTATATCAACAGCAGTGTATGTTCTGTACTTTCTATGGGCTTGTGAGGGACAGGTTTTCGGCCTGGCATTCCAAATCAAATTTTTCCGAAGATAAGAATGAAGTACATGAAGCCTGTGATGTTTTGTAACAATTAAGGCCGGTTCATACACGATGCGAAAGCGTACGCGAATATGTGACGTCAGGGTAAGTTTCGGGCTGCAAATTTGCAAAAGTTGAACACATTTCAAGTCAGGTGAATTTTGCAGTGAATGCTTCGTGACGTCAAATTCGCATCGCATTCACATTCGCATAAAGATAGCCTTTAGAAGCGACTACGTTGAAAGGTCAAAGGTTATCGCTGTCACGACTGATGCTGGAGCCAACAGAAAATGTATACATAACGTTTGCCTGTCTAAACCAGAGTCGACCTGAGTCACTGCCTATAACAAAATTTATGTGTCAAATTCATAATGCCGGAATGCAAAAATTGTATTAACAAAATACCTTCAGCGACATCAAATCCTTGGAACTTGACCGGCTGTGCATAGTTGACAAGAGCAGACAAGAAGGGATGGATGTTGGTGGTAGCTCCCGTGTAGCGATAGTTGGCCACCATAAAGGCTTCTTCGTCTTGCGATAACTGTTCAACACCCTGCAGGACAGATATGACGAAAAATGTTAAGCCGCATGGCGTTACTGCACTTGCGGCACAATTTATTGCGTGGGTTGCAGAACATTTCACATTGTGCAACATTTCAGTTATGACACATTTCACGGGAGTTTGGTCATGTGCAAGTCTGCAACTTAATATGCTTTAAATTATGGCACAACTTTTGCAATCGCTTTAGCTGGCTTATCATGATCGTCATGGAGCCTGTTGTTGCCCATCTTATCATGGTTGATGCAAGACGCTCACAGCTTTGTGTTTGAAGAAAATGAAGAGTAATTTTACCAGTGACAAAATTTTCTTAAGAGTTGCCGCATGATTCAGAAGAAAGTCGGACAGAACTATTTTCATGATGGTGGACGGAGGTGATTCAACGACTGTTTGTGGCCAAACAGAAATCACACACAAAATAAGTTGCAAATGCTATATGTGTAATGGTACCATTAAGGAGACACGTTATCGTAATTTCTTCGCACGATGGGAGACATCGGCCATTAGGGAGACATTTTCTGTCTCCCCAATGTCACAGCCCCCCTTTAGAGGCAAAATTTTGCAGTCGCAATTAAATTATATTTGTTGCTCGTGGTCTAATTGGTAAACATACCGAAGTGCGTGGAAAAAGGACAAGGGAATATTGGGTAAGGGCACATTTCAGTTTGAACAATTTTATGCCCAAGTCTATGGGGATGTCTCCCAAATGTCCAATCCAGGGTAATATTTATTATCCTTGCACATGATGTCTAATTGAAACGTTGCACTGGCATACCAAGTTCGTGAAATAGCACTCTGCACTGATGTTAAAAATAGAAGCAAGTACCCGGATCTCAGACAAGCATGTTGTACGAACTTCTCGTGTGAAGATTACGCGCACGCTTGCAAACACCGTTTCTATGCGAATGTACATGTATGCGGCCAGGTGTGCATGCATATGCGCGCCTGATTGTTCGAAAGTTTGTCTGACATGCGGGGTAAGCGCGCGTACGGCGCAGAGCAAAATTGACGCCATTAGTGCGGAGTGCTATTGATCGTAAGTTTATTGCGCAGCTGCGTGAGTCACATAAGTCCCAAGCATGGCCTAGGTTACGCATGGTTTCATGAAAATCGGCTACTTGAATTACAAATTATACCTCCAATTAATATGGGCCATCAGGACCCAGTCAATTCAAATGCAGCGGAGCGCTGCTACAACGAACAACACTATACCACAGTATGCTACAGTAAACAATCCCTTATTGCTCCCAAATTTGTATGTACAATTAAAGAGGTTGTGGAATGCTCGCAGACATTTCCGTCATTTTTCGGGTATATGTAGCCCAAGGTGTGATGAAATAAAAACGACTATTGTGTCTGTCATGAAATGAGTACAAAAGGTACTTTTGAGAGCTGTTTTTCAGGTCCTGTTTCGACCCGAACGTGCAATTTGTGTAAAAGTCGTCATTGGGGCCAGCAAACCAAAAAAAATAAATCGTGACGTAATAAACAGGACTCCCGATGCAGCATAGTATAAACAGCTCTCAAAAGTACCTTTTGTACTCATTTCATGACAGACACAATAGTCGTTTTTATTTCATCATACCTTAGGCTACATATACCCGAAAAATTACGGAAATGTCTTCGAGCATTCCACAACCTCTTTAAATGGAACATTTCCAACCCAATAAATGCTAGAACAAATGAGTACTACACACAATAATCTTTTGTGAAACCTGTTGTGTTTGTAATTACTCATTATTAAGGGAACAAAATAATAGATACTGTAAATGTTTGACATGCAAACACACTACAAGGAACGGGCATGTTTCATGGCAGTTTTAATTCTCTCTGCAAAATTCTATTAAATAACTGTTTGATCGTATTAACCCTACCAGAACTTAACCCATCAAACGCCAACGGCTTGTTTTGTTGGAATCTGTCAGGATGGGTGCAGTACCCATAAACAAACAGTCTAATACATTGGGTTGGCACACCTCAAGAATCAAAGTCAGAAATATGTGTGTGCAGTTTCCCATATGGTGTTGGAATTTGCCAGGATGGGTATGGTTCCTATTAAATCATGCTAGGGAGTTAGGGTTAAGAGACAGGTGTACATGCAAGTATGAGTCTTTTAAAAGCAGCTTTCCAAAGTCAAACTCCCAATTAGTTTTGAGCACAATTAGCTGAAGCATGGAAACACTTTAAAAAAAAAATCTGAAATTGCCCGAACAACTGATTACAAACAGCCCAACTCATGTTTGGACTATAGCCCCGTATTAAAACCATCCAACTTTTACAAACCAACATCACGGGCAAACTTCACGTCGCTGCTTCTAAGCAAAAAAAATGTGCTCAGCATGAAAATGAGAACCAGTCAAAAACAATATATTCACCGGTAATCTGTTTTCCTAATCGGAAATATATTTATTTAAAACTAAGTTCTGTGTTTAGACCAATGGCAGCGCAGAGTGTTTTTGAGCCCCAGTATATAATGGCCAAAGCAATGTGCCATCTTTTGTGCAAATGCTTCATTGTTTATAGGAGCCAATGGTATGACGTCAAAGCACCACATGACCATCCGGCTTCCCCATGATTGGCCACCATTGCAGTAGGCAAGCGTTTGGTTTAGCAACCATGTCCTGCATTGTAAACAAGAAACTAAAGCTTATTTATTTTCATGTAAAATATCTGCAAATTCTTTATCAAATTAATAAGGAGGGCAAGTCTTGTTCCCAGCGTTAACAGAAGGAACACACTTAACTGAAAAAAAATCTGTACTACTGTCTAAATCTTTGGGACACTACAACAGTGACTGTTGTATAAACTCCCAGGCCATGTACTTACCCTGACCGTGAGACTTCTACTGAACTTAATGCACACATTCACTGCAACACATTTAAAGCTTTACATTGTAAACAATGGCCCCCATACGGTTGCAGACCAGTAAATAAACTGCCATAGACCCCAATGATAAATGCCCCCACTTCAAAAATTCAGGAAAAATACAACTCCAAGATATTCGAGACACACATCAAATTAAAGCTAATTTTATCATCTTTCATTTTCTTTTCAATTGTCGGGGGGTTAACTGATGACTTTTAGGAAAAATTTCCATCCGAAGATGATCACCCCTTAAAACGGTCCTGAAGCCCATCGCCATTTTGAAAAAAACGACGCCTACACTCCATTGCAAAATAGAGCGCTTTTAGGGCTCCAATTTCATCCAAATTGCACAGAACTACAAGCTCATACAGTCCTGTGCACAGCTTCCACCCATATTTTTTTACAAACCCTCAAGTTCATGGCCCACAATGTGCTTAAATAACGAAAAATACGCAAATCGTGATTTGGCCAGCCTAGGCGATTTTGGACTGATTTACTGGCCTGCAACCACACACAGAACTTGAACATACTGCCCCTCAATGGCTCATGCATGGACTTGCATGTAAATGTGACCAAAACAGAAATAAAAATTTCATAGGCTTTCATCTGAAGTCAACAAATGTAAAGTAGGCTATCAGCTTCGATCCAAAAGTTGGGCCACCGGTATCAAATGATCGAAAAGAGCAATGCTCAGAGCGATTTTTGCCAAGGTATACACATCTAGAATTGGAAAATGTGTGATAGCTTTGTAGTTTGAGTGGTGGTGGTTTTTTTGATGTTATCACTTTTAATCATTTTTTTTCCAAAATGGAAACAAGCATGTTTTGGTTGCCATTTTTTTTTTTTTAAGTGATAGCACCCAAAAAGCTGCCACCGCTGCAATGCTATCACAGGGGTGCATACCTTGCCAAAAATCACAATGACTATTATACCCCTCATTTGATAACGACCAAACCCCCAGGCTGATGGCCTAAAGGAACGAAACCTTCAGACTTAGAATGCTGCGCATGCCTTGTGACCGACTTGGGAGACAAGCCGCTGGCCACAGCCATTATGTACCACCTTGATAATGTTGTGTATACTTGCCTGTAAGTTTTCACCAGCTAGGGCTTCGGCCTTGGCCTTGGCCTCAGCTCTTGCATCCAGAAGCTGCACTCGGGACAGGTTCTGGGTTAGTTAAAGGAAGACGGTACCATGGGAAAACATGATACAAGACAACACGAAAGGACGTGGAAAATGGACCGTGAATTGGAGGACAAAAGGGTTGGCAAAGAAGGAAAGATGTTTATATGTTAGTCACAGAGAATCAAACGATAAGATTGTCAAAATAACAAAAGAAGGAGGCATGACAGAAAGGGGGTATAAGCACAAGCAAGACTTGTAAGACAGGAGTCGTGATGACAAGATATTTTTGAGGAAGTTTTCCAAGGAAGTTGGAGTTACAAATAACAGAGAAAGAGAACAGCACAGCAGCACATGTTAACGAATGTTACATGAAGAAATAGGATAATAAGTGGCGTATCAAACAAGTACTGGCAGTCACATCCAAATTCACTTAAAAAACACTCGGCTTGACGGAACAGATTTCTTTAAAGTTCACGACTTGAAGTACTTGAAACGCTCATAAAAAAATGATATGAAAGTCTGGTTAAACAAAAATTCATTTCACAAACGAGACCATAAAGAATTGAAGGCTAATCAATGGACAAAATTGGAGGATTCAGGACTGTTAGGGTTAGCAGTACCCCTTTACAGAAACAGGATGATGCACAGATGCAGTCAGAATCATCAATGTCAAGTTGAACTGGACACCGGCAATCCTCTATATGTAGGGTTTAGAAAATCTTAAAGCTAAAAGAGTGGGGATTTTTGTTTGTTTAACCTTCATCTAGCTAAGCTAACCCCTCCAGATAACGCTCACCTTTTTGTTACTGTTCTTCATACTGAGTGACGGTTTCAGCTTGACAGGTTCGGCAGTTTCCGGCGTTCCCACCGGCGTTTCCTTCTCCGCTGGCGGTGCCGGTGTCGGCGGCTTTGTGACAGTGTCCACCGGGGCCTTGGCTGCTTCCCCAGCCACGTTTTCTAAGTCCCCCGTTGAGCCGATCTTGTTGGTACCCGGCAGAACCTTGAGCTCTGGGTGTGCGTCCACAGGCTGCTGACCTGGAAAAAGGGGGTAAAGAAGGGCGCCACCATGAGTCGATGCGCGGCAGTCACAGTGCGCACCGGCAGAAATCGTGATATAGCACCCGCCAACTTGGACCAAATGCTTGAACCGCTGTGGGCTTGATACAGACTACTCTCGCGTCACACATTTGCTCTAGAAACTCAACATTTCTAAAAAAAAAAATGTGTGTTGTTTTGTTTGTGGACTCGACATGCATGACATGAGCGACATGCATGACATGAGCAACATGCAGACAGAGGATGGTACACAGTCACAAATGAATGCAGGAGGTCATGAATGCTACCAATGTCGCTATGTGGAAATCCTACAAAATGGCACCGTTTTACAATCTCTATTTTGAGACTAACCCCCGAAATTCACAATGTTGCTCATCCGAAAAGTGTTTGAATACTCCCAAAAAATTCCACTTTGATATTTGAATTTCCCACAGCAAAATAAGAAACTGTCTACACATGAGAACAAAATCTCAATCAGTTTCTTCACATGGACTTTGTTTTTGCTGTGTAACATTTTAAAAAAAGTCTTCCGAAAGCCAGTGTGCATGATTAAAAAGAATCCATCGGGATTGGCTGGCATTTCTGCTAATTCTCTTCAGGCTGCGTTCAAGTTACATTGGCTGTGACAGACAGTAGCCCACGCATCTATGGCAAGCGGATTTGGCTGCTACCATAGGCGCATGCATAATTGCTGGCCGCAGCCACTTAATTTAGACGCAGCCTTATCACAGCATCTATACAGAAATGACTTCCATGTCAATTCCACAATTCCATCTTTCCTAGGCCATACAGCTACGGAAAGACTTCAAACACTCTTTAAGGCCGGTTTATACTTGGCGCAAAAAAAACCCGAATGCGATCGCAAATGTGTGACATCACAGCATGTATTTGCAAAAGTGGAATGCATCTCGACTTGCGAATTTTGCAGTGACGGTTTAATGACGTCCAAATCGATTCGCATTCGGGTTCGCATATGAAATATGAACCGGCCTGAAGGTGCTACATGTGTGTACTCATCTACAGACTAATTAATGTTCTCTCACACAGCAGTGATTATCATGTGACAAAGTGAGTGCTGTTGACGAATGAGTGCAACTATGTGTCTGTGTATTCACTCTATGTGATCGTAAGTGATTGTAACTACAGCAATAGCAGTGTGTATAGGCTACAGAACAATTCAAGCCAAGCCATCGGTGACAGGCAAAGAGGTGATCATGAACTACAGTGCAAAAAAAAATGGGAAAAAAAGAAGAAAATAAAATAACATAAATATTCGTCTCTCCTGATGAAGTGAAGTTAGGTTTCTGCAGTGTGATGGCCTAGGAGTCTACATGTCTACAACTTACAAGTCAAGCTCAGGTTTGCAAACGGATCTTGTACTTGACACCCCTTCTTGGATGAAGGGGGTTATAAAAACAGCTTTTCTTAACCCAAGAACTGCAACTTCTCACAAATTGGAGCATTGCTTGAGATTAAGTAAGTCCTGTTTTTATCTCGTTGAAGGAAACACAACAGATGCACTGCTTGAAGACCAAACAATTAATCTTGATGAACATTTTCGATCTCCGTATTCAAGACAGTACATTCTGTGTAGCGAACTCGGAAAAAATTGGAAATCATGGCAGCTACGCAAGCAGATACCAGAAAGTGATGAATTGGCAATAGCCGAAGAATCGATTTAAGCCTTTAGCGCACGAAACCTCCTAAGCATTCTATGGTATTATTCATTCATCAGTGAATAAACACAATGTAACACAATGTAATACAGGCCTGTGCTAATGTTTCTGTTAGCTTCTGTACAAACGCCTGGTGTGGCTATCGCGTACAGCCTCATACTGTATGTATGAGGATAACTGCCAGAAACACTGGGGCGAACCCCTTCTCTTAGCAATAAGTGTTTGCTGGGTTCTTTTACGTGCGTTGTACAACACACGGGACCTACAGCTTTACGTCCCATCCGAAGGACGAGTCAATAATGGCCGAGTGCCTTGCTCAAGGGCACAAGTGTCCTGGCCTGGGCTTGAACCCATGCCACTGTTGCCTCTGAAACATCAGAGCATGAGTCCAGTGTTCTTAACCGCTAGGCCATCTCACCCCACTAATGGGTTAGAATACCGTGTGTCTAGTAGATGCGGTTTCAGTGACTGGGCAAAAGGATTGGGGATTGTAGGATTAGGGAGCGCTGAGCACAGCTGGGACCTTAATGAGAGGATGCCTCTCTGAAAACTCAGACTGCAAAAGTTAACAGCATGCGGCTGTTTGCACTGATGGTATCACATGGGAAAAATCACATGATCATTCTTGGAGAGCATTTAGGAGTGCATCAGAATTATAAAAAATAGATGTCAGATGCAACAGGGACAGGGGAAAAAAGTGGACCTCAAATTTATGGAATGACCCAACATTAAGTAAACTTGGTCACTAAGAATTTGGCAATTATGTGATCATCCAAGCAGACTTGAAGGGGGACTCTCAAAATATGATCCGTTGGATGACCTATGACCTAAGGATGGAACACATTGAAATCTGGATATTTGACCTCATGAATGATGTAAAACAGCAGAGAGGGGGTGGGGCTAAAAAGACACAATATTTGACTTCATCAAGGAATTACGCCTACCAGATGCACATGTATTGTAGTAATCCAGACATATTATTCAGACATTTGAAAAGGGGGTCATTATCAAATTGAATAATTTGCACTCACTGTAAATAAGAAAAGTGAAAGTGGTATCGATTTACAAAACACCACGTTTTACAAAATAAAATTGAATAAAATGTGATTAGTGTACTTGACATGTTGAATAACTATGGGATTTACATAGTCTGTCGGGTGCCCGGCAGAAGGGCATATGAGCGTTTGTCGCAAAACTCACTTTCCAGAAAATTACATTAAAAGGTTCCAATGTTCCCCCATGCGTATTATGAATCCAATATTCTCCCACGCGTAATATAAATCGTACTAATTTAAAATTTGTCACATGTATGAAACATAATTTTTGGAAAAGCGTGTTCATTTTCCGACGGAAATTTTTTAATTTCATTAAAATAGAGGCAGTTTTTCTGCATATGCCCTTTTGCTGGGAACATTTTGGTGACTACGCATTCGCGCGTAAGCGCATGCCCTTCTGTGAGGCACACGACAAGATATTCTAACGATAAGGCAATCCTCAATAATATGATTACACTAGCAACGAATGAGGAAGTCGATGCTTCAAGTCAATGAAAAATGCTCAATGCGAATGTACAAATGTAAGTCAAAGTGGTTTTGATGCACATACCAAGATAAAAAAAAAATTGAAAAAACCAAGAACCAACACGAACATGACATGAGTTGGAAAGGTTCATCCACGTTGCAAGTTCACTCATATTCATATTCCAAAAAAAACTAGTCTTCAGATAAATGATAAGATGTAAAATGAAATGATACAAAGGCAGTCATATATGTCATTGTTCATCGCCAAATGCTTTGAAATGTCATGTGACTTTTGCAATTGACTGGTAAATTGAACACCCGAAATCAGCGTCCGGGACATGTTCTCATTCAGCCAATTGCACCTACGCGATGTCACACACTGACCCGACAAATTATAGCAACCATGCAGGGAGCATAGTGCCAACTATTACACCAAGTATGCGTTTCAACAATAATTTCGTCAGTTACTTTTTGGATAGCTGCAAATGATATTCTCTACCTTTAACACACACATAAGCACCTTCGAAGCTTTTTTTTTTTTTGAAACCATTGCTGGTGTAATAATTTCATAGTTTATGGGGCCAGCCATATCTTCACTTGGAGCAAGGATTTTTCGCATTAAATTGGTAGGTACCTTTCCAGGTAATTAACGAGGTTTTTACATGCCTTTAAAACTTGATCCTCCCCGCATTGTTCATTTGGCTAAAATTTCTGGATATAAAACATCCAGTTTATATGATTAACGCAGAGCTGAATTTTTACTTCTTCTTATTGAGACACTGTTCTGCAGTTTTTCAAAAGGATTAACCTTGATTGGTATGTGGGCAGACAAATGGAGCTTGGAAGATTGATTTTCTCCGTGCACAATAGTACCCCCTCACTTGGACTCATATGCATTGTCGCAGTACCCATAGTGTTCACATAAAGAAGATACCCATTGGATCTAATACACCGTGCCCTCTGGAGACATGCACACAGTAGGGAACAAAAGATTGTATATGTCTCCACAGGGCAATTTCTATGGATGAATATGTCTCCACATGGTTTTCACGAAATAGATATATGGACTTTACTCAAAAACTAGGAATTTCCAAGGTATGTTGATCCATCGCAAATGGTAGAGTTTTAGAAAAGGGATATTAATTCCGAATTTTAGCCAAGAAAATTAATTCTGGTTGAAATAAACTTTTGAAACTTCACTTTCAAACTTGAAAACTTTACTACACGAGAACAAAGAAATGTCTCCAAAAGGATACAAATTTCAGTATCTTCGTGTACATCAGAATAAAATTAATCGCGCATACATGTACATTGAACTCACAAAGCGCCATCTACTACTGTCCACAGCGAAAATATTGGAATATATTGATCCTTTTGCAGGGAAAGGTAAGCCCACTACCACTGTCAACTGGCAAGAAAGTCTTGGGTGAAGAAGTTGTTGTATATTGGATACGCAATCACCTCTAGCAAGAGGGTGCTGTTACAACGAATTCTATCACCCTCGAACAGCTATCACGACGTCTTGAGAATCTTGTAAAATTTTCCCTTAAAAAATGGGCAACTAGTGCACATGCGGTACTTCTGCAGGCAAATATGGTCCATTTTTCAGTCCCATGCACACTACATACATGTACGACAAAAAAGCTGCCATAAAGTTGCACGAAAGTCTGGTAACATCTTGTATGCTACCATACTGGCTAAAGTTTCGGAAGTTGGTTCGGAACTAATATACAAGGTGTTGGGATGTGAGCTGAATACATTTGCCAAAAACAGGTGCGCTCACACGACACGACCGCTGCAAGACTCCCAAAACGTTGTGATAGCAGTTTGTGGGTGATAGCGATTTGTTGCGATTGCGCCCTCTTGCGGCAGGTGATCATGTATCCAGTAACGTTTTGACCCAAGACTACTGGCAAGATGAAATGCAAGTGCAGTAGAAAATCTACCAAATCTTGCGATAGCGCCCTCTTGCAGCAGGTGACTGCGTATCCATTAACGTTTTGACCCAACACTACTGGCAAGATGAAATGCAAGTGCAGTAGAAAATCTACACTACAATCAATCAATGAAATAGAAAAAGGCCAAATGATTACTGGATGGATCGCCAAGTGATGGACACGGGCAGATATGCCGGGGAAATGTAAAAAGGATTTGTGCCATGAATATGACCGATCACAGACATGATCTTCCAAATGTCCCAGTACAACATGCATGAGCTTCAACTCATGACATGCGCATTGGGCAGACGCACATGTTGTACGTTGCCCGCATGTGAAATTAGTGGTGCTTAAGGCCAAATCTGAAATGGTGATCCACAACCAACCCTGACAATTTGTTATCTGATCTTCATTGTATCTTAACCCTCAAAACATACGCAATGTCAATAAATCTTAAGGTTTAACAGTTACAAACATCTTCTCACTACAAAGATCTCAAGGATTTGGATAAAGCATGAGTTGTGTAGCCTGGTTTTGTGCGAGTTAGGGAGACACAAAGGAGAGCTTGTCTGCAAGGTTTGTCTTTTTTTTCTGTGATGAATTTTTTTTAACAGAGGGGGTGGTTCTAACACCACTGTTATATCCTGGAGTTCTCAACCCCCCCCCCCCCCCCCCGAAATAAAGGATGCCCCCCCCCTCCCCGAGAAGACAATGGTTCGTTAAGCGTCATGTGTTAATCATCACTCATGAATGATAAGAAGGAAAAAAGACTGAGAGATTTTGAGAAATGGGAAGGAGTGATATTGATTAGGGAGGGCGACCCAGCACCAATTTATGGTTGAATCAAGTCCTAGAAAAAAAAATGGAAAAGAAATGAAATGGTGGCAGGAAAAAAAAATCGAAACACCCGAAAAAAAAAATATTGAAATTGCCCACCTGTCTTTTCTTTGTCTTCTGCGGTCTCTGGAAAAATTATGTACAAAAAAAAATTGGGTCAAATTATGGGAATTTGGAAAAATTGTTTTGAAAAAGGAACACAATATATGTGAATCAAATGAAAAGTAAACGGGAGTCTTATATTGGAAATGATGAATATGTGATATATGAAATGCATTTACGTTTTTACTGTATTTGAAAATACATTCAAATATGTGCTTTAACTGGCAAATGGATACATGTTTTATGGATAGCTAGTGTTTTCTCAAGCAGACTGGTAAAAAAAATCTAAATCGGTTGCAAAAACAAAAAAAGTTAAAACTTGAAACGTTTCCAAAGTTGTCCAGAAATGCAAAACACATGCATCTCCTTCTTCCCAAATGACAAAAAATACGACAAACTCCATGCCAAGAATTCCACAATTCATCTATTTTACTTGAAGTATATGAAGGTTCTTGTTGTCCAGTGCACTACAAGTCTGTCACAAGTAAATCACGAGTTAATTTGCAAGTCCATCCTAAGTAACAGGTAATGAAAAATAACAAAGGAATGCCTTTGCCACAGACAATTCATTTTTAATGGACTAGTGATGGACTTGTGATGGACTTGTGATGGACTTGTGGGGACTATGACGGACTCAACTACAACAATGGATTACAGGTATCACTGATTCATAAATTCCGAAAGGCAATAACAGTGAGAATGATAGGTGAGTATTAAAAGTAGGTCAGAGATGGCCAATGGTAATCATGTATGGAAATAATCCTATAAAATGAGGAAACTAAGCAAATAACGTTCACCACAAGTTTCTGGCACTTAAAAAGTAAGCATGTTGAAACAGGCTCTCAAAAACTCGGACTGATCGATAATACGAGGGCTGTGCAGCGGAGCCGGGTACCCGACCGTTGAAGTTAGGAACCGGTTCCAGACTACGGGATCGTGTACTCGTGACCAACTTTACAATTACTTAGTAACTTGATTCTCAGACAATGAAAAAGAATTTACACCGTAAAGCTATAAGGCTCACTATACACACTTGTATCTTTCTGTATTGATGCACCGATGCGGTAGTATTATCGTGGGGACCATTATGAACAATCTGAACTGCAACTTCTGAGACTTGAATTTTGGAGTTGGGTTTCTTTAACGGATACCCGGGTACCCGTGGTTTTTTCAATCAGGTACCCGGTTCTCGTATTTACCCGTAAATGCACACCACTAGATAATACCATTCTACTTGCTGACTTTTGACTTCTTTTAGAATTTCATTTGCAACAGCATAGTTAAAGCAGTTACGAGTCAACAACAAATTAAGTGAAACTTATTAAAAACAGGGGATGAACACTGCTTTGTCATTTGTAATTTCAATCAATTGTGATCTGACTTGATGAATTGTGGCTGGATTTGCAAGAACTTGTGATGCTTTGACCGCTTCTGTAACTGGAAGCCTTTTTTGAATAAGCAATGATAACTTTGTCTTAACTGGAACTTTGCTTCAAGAATCGGAAGTTGAAACATAATAATAATAATAATAATAAACAAGGCACTTATATAGCGTTCTTACACAAGCTGGTATCACAACGCTTTACACAAGAAAACAATTAAGGTGTATAATACACAGCGGTGAATGGAAATAATAACAAGTTATGAGGCTAATTAAGTCTGGAAAAGATGTGTTTTAAGCAATGTTTTAAAGTCAGTAAGGGAAATGGCATGACGGATTTCATAAGGAAGATTATTCCAAAGGTTTGGAGCAGCTGCATAAAAACCTCTTGTGGAGATTGAAGAACGAGTTTTGGGTTGTAATTAGTGAGAAATCTGCGTTTGCAAAAACATGAAACTTTTGTTGCCCTTAAGCCAGCAAGGTATCACAAGGAAGCTTGATTTGCATCACTGCTGCTTTTCCCAGATTAGTTCATAAGTCACCAGAAACTATGCCCAGCACGATATGCGACAGAAGGGTACCCCCCCCCCCCCCCCCTATACACACCCTAATGTTACCTATAAACACATCCCCTAGATATCTCAAAAGAATTCCGGAGATTCTGGCAACAAAATGGCCAACACAAAAGGGGGGGGGGGGGTTGTCACATATCGTGCTACATATGCCAAAAACTGTCAGTAAATCACTTTTTGTTTAAACATGAAAAGTTAGTATTCATCAAAACACCATAAACACCAACAAAGAAGCGTTATTTGTGCGCAAAAAATGTGAATAACAGCAAAGCTTTATAATAAGCCCCGTGATGTTAAAAAAATGTGAAAGCTTTGCATTTTCAGGCTTTTTTTCAGTACCCTCGCTGCAGGATGCTAATAACTTCTTGCTTGTAACATTTCAAGCTAATTGAACAGATATCTCATCTGAGTAGCAAGAGGACAGAGACCTGTTGGGTAAAACACTCAACGTTTCAATCAGTATACCGTGGTCATCTTCAAAGAATGCAATTGGAAGTCCAGGAAAATTGCCTTTCCAGATACTCATTTGCTTAAAATGGTAACTGCTAGAGACACTGACCCGCTGTAGCACTGCAATGTCACAGTGCATTGTTTTTAAATCCATCTGATTATGACATTCAATGAACTCCGTAGCCAGATTTTGTCTTTCACACTTTCTAAAGTCTTCTACGGTATCTGAAGATGATCACATGATACAGATCGAAATGTCGAGTGTTTAACACTCAAAAGTGATATCATTCCATTGTGTGTCTGCAAACTTATCACAATATCAGGTTTTTTATCCGGACTAATTTTGAATATCGAGTGTCCCTGTGCCATATTTTGGTTTGGGACTGCGCTCACAGACCATCTTATGTATGGGAAAACGCTTGCAGCATTAATTTGAGGGTAAAAAAATGAACAAATAAAGCCAGGTCCAACATCAGCACATTACACGGGGTTGGTAATCTCAAAATGGTCCTTACTAAACCAAAAAGATTTAGAAGATTTGTGCGTTCCTTAAAACAATTACAACTTCAGAAGGCGTAAATGAGAAAGAATGTTATTTAGCTGAATACCCAACAAGTGAATGTCACTCATTGAGTATGTATTTGCACAAAGGAGCACAAAGGTCAAAGCTGACCAATTTACGCATAAGCAAATAAATATCCTCACTGATTATTCTCGCTCATGAATATGTATGACTATGAGTTTTAAATGGCAATATGAGTGAATTCCTCAGCCAATCAGCAAAGTCCTTTCATCTGATGGCTTCTCATACATGTGTTGAGGCTGACATATTAAGGGGTGATCAAATCCAAATCAAAAGGATAACATCATTATTGGGTATCCATCATGAATATTCATCAACTGATAATTCCAAGGGTTCTAATTGACCATGGGTGCGCATATAACCTTGTTTTGAAGAAAAAGAAAGCAAACAAAAAAGAACATTTGAAAACAAAAACTAAAATGAAATACCATCTTAAATTACAATGCTTAAAAATGTAGAAAAGCAGTGCTGCCCCTAAAAATATCCTTGTTCCCAAAAATGAAATCTCTTTCACCATGGATAAAACAAAATAGTAAAATGCAAATAAAACCTGCTTTATCGCCAAAACCCCAAAAGCAACAAATAAAAAGCAAACAAACAAAATCATAATGTTTTACCTTCGGATGGTGTTTCCTCTGAGTTTTCTACACATGCAAGTAATAAAAGATTCCCACATGAGTTTTAGGCAGACATCTGAATTATCATTTTTAAGGTTTTCCCTCAACTTTTGGATAAAAAAAACAGGTGCAGAAAAACAAACTAAAGTAATGTGACTCTGAGGGTTAGGGTGTGGATATTAGGTGACTTCCACCCAGAACTGTACATGAAAAACTAGAGCAGTCAATTCTATAACATAATAAATGTGTGACAACTTGAGTTTGTCCAATTACAGTCACTATGTGGACATGTGAACAAAAGATATCCAAATAATGCAAGTTGTGCTGACTTTATGTGGACTAAGCCTTGTCCACATAACGTTTCGCCCTCTGGAAAACAGGTTTAGAGGCCTTTTCGGGTTAGGGTTATCGGTCGCAGAATGAAGAGAAACATTCAAGGAAATCAAAAAAAAAATTGGGGGTTGAAAGAGATTTCACAGTTTAAGTAAAGTTATTTTTTGTACCGATTTTTCTTAACTACACAAAAACAAAGGAATGTCCACATAGCGTATGTAAAACAAACATGTCTGTCTTTTTCATGTGTTTTGTAGAGGTTAAACCTGGCAAAGTAGACAGCAGATATTATTTTTACCATTAAAAACCAAATCATCACACTTCTTTTCATGTGAAATTTTCTTAAAATAGTTTTTAAAAAGGATTCCCAGTCACCAATCAAAAAAATTCTACATGTACATGCCCACACAGGCACCAAATGCAGCAAATACGTATACACTCAAGAATCATAAGTACTCTCAAAAACTTTCATGACCTATAAAAATGAGTGCACCTAATCCTTCCCTATGTGTGGCAGTCACTTCTTACAGTTGGTTAGCAGAATGTTAAGGTGTTTTCACACTATTGTCTCCCACACTCATGTTGCAATCCATACTGGTCCACCATGAGTCAAACCAGCTCCGATCGGACATGGGTCGAAAAGAGAAATCCTTCACTGTACATGGCCATAGTGGAGACGATATTTATGACTTTAATTCTATTTGTCTACCCGGGTAGAACCTCTAAACCCTGGTCCCGACCAGAGCTGACTTTTACCCATGTAGAAGCTGTGTTAGATTCTTTCTAGTGTGAAAGGGGTTTCTGCAATCCTAGGTATAACAAAGTGATAGTGTTAAAGGGTCAGTGAGCAATGTCTTCGCATACTGGCCCTCTACTGTCCAAAGTAGGACAGTTGTTGGCAAGGAATCTGAGTGCCATTTTTGGTTAACCTAAGGTGTTAAGGGTCTCTAAACAATGGCAAATCGCACACAATGTATGTTGACTGTGATGCAAAGGCCCCCTAACACGACGGGTATTCGTCAATCATAAATAAACCTTAACAGATTTTCAATATGATTAGGTAAAATGCTAAGAACTACCAACAGTCTTATTACCTCAACTGACATATTTGGCACCGTCTTCCTAGTCCAGTGACATAACAACTTTGTTATGTAGTCAAGTCAATCACAGGTCAAATTCTCAAGTCAATCATGAGTGAAATCATCAGCAACAGGCATGGGCGTCGCCAGGATTTTTAGAGGGGGGCAGGGACATTTTGCCCCCCCCCAACTCATTAAATTTACACCACTTTGTCTTCGCGCCTCTTTTTTTTTTTTTTTTTTTTTGCTTTTCCGGGGGGGGGGGGGCAAGTGCCCCCCTTGCCCCCCCTCGCAACGCCCATGGCAACAGGGGATGAACAATGACAATAGAATGCCTTTGAACCACTTGACTTGCAATTGACTTGTCAGGAATTGACAAAAACTGTGTTGTTAGACTGACATTAACACAACAAACATGAGATACAGATGTAACAGAGAGGAATTTTCAGAGTCCTGCGAGGTGAAATGTTGTCTTAAATTTGAGGAGTCTGACACATGTAAGCACTTGAAATGTTGGATGTTTGGCAGTGAATAGGATGACACGACAAAGACTCTTGTCTTTTTTGTTGTGGCGTTTTGTTTTGGTCGTTTGTTTTTATGGTTTTTTCCCCACGTATCATTCATTTAAAGGCATATAGGATCATTTGATTTTCATACATTATATCTGTTCGTTTCTAATAACACCACTAAAAATCCAAAAAAGGATGTTCAAAACCTAACCTGTTAAAATATCAGCTCAGTGGATATTACACTTTTTGAGAAAACACTGAAAAACCATGAAAAACCTTTTGATCAAGAATCATGATTTCATTAATAATGCTGTTTATTTCCAAAAATATGTCAACCATTGGAAATCACCTACATTTCTTGATTTCCTTAATATAACAGAAAGCCAGACGGAATAATTTCAAGGGCTGTTTTAGTACCAGTATGTTCTTTAATCAAAAAAAGGGTTTTTTTAAAATAATTTCCTAGCTTACTTTTGGGATAAACGCAAATGATCCTACATGCCTTTCAATACAGATGAAATGTTCAGCAAGTTGAGAAGCTATGAAGCAGGCACACAGAAGAATGTTTATGGAAGGTGGCATCTGATTCAGTTGCTGTCAGATGATGCCAAAGTTCTGACACAAGTGCGGTTCTAGAATGTAAATTTTCAGAGTCCATGTTTGGAGGATCTTTTTTTCGTTGCTATTAATTTGATATAAAAGTCTCATAATAAAATTGATTTTCTTGCAAAAAGAGCAGTTTTCTACTTCTTTTTTTTTTTATTGTTCAGGGATGTAAACACCGCAAATAAGAACGTCCACACTCACTGGAGGGGTCATTATTTTGACTCTGATCGTCTTATGATGACGTCATTTATATAGACCTTTGAGGAATTTTGTTAGCTACATCTTGATACCCTGTTTGCTACCAAAGACTCTGCCAAGATTGACAACGGTTTATGAAAAATGATGCAGTTTGAAAATTTAATGATTACGCGAGGAGAAATTGCTAAGCGTAACCACACATGCCTGTAATTGGCCATTATCGACTGCACAGTGCCCGAACAAAGTGCTGGTAATTCAATTTGCGTGCTGCCATGCATGCAAGCACTGTGCGATCGGCATTCCCTGCAGTACGTTTCTGGCAGCGTGACATTGTCACGTAGCAATTTCCACGCGCGTACTCTTTAAATTTGCAACTCTGCATACTGCATCGTTTTTCACAAACCATTGTCAATCTTGGACGATTTACAGTCTTTGGCAGCAAACGGGATGTCAAACTGTAGCTAACAAAATTCCCCAAAGGTCTATATAAATCACAGTATCATCAGACGATCAGATTCAAAATTATGACCCCTCCAATGAGTGTGGACCATTTTTTTTTATTTTGCGGTGTTTAGTTGCGTCTATTACAAGTCCCTGCATGTCCCTGCAAGTCCATCACAAGTCCTCCAGTCCCAATTCAAATCACAAGCTATTGAGCTTTGACAAAGACATTCCTTTGTTATTGTTCATCCACTGTTTCTTGTGAATGGACTTATGAATTACATGTGACTGGACTTATGATGGACTTGTGATTTACTTGTGACTGGACTTGTGATGGACTCGACTACATCCCTGCTTTGATTTCATGAAAGAAACTGCTAGAATCAAAAATGTTCGGCCCTCTATTTTTATTTTAGGGAGGGATTAATTCAAATTTAATTTTCTTTCAGAAGGGGGATGATAAGCCTGATCCATCCCAATCCTTCTTTAGAACCGCACCAAAAGCACACACTAGGATGACCATGAGAAAGAGATGTTAGTTGTCCGTGTACAAACCCAATCTGTGTAAACATGCACCCACCTTCGTTATTATTGTCTTCTTTCTTGGCTAAAAAAAAATGCCAAAAAGACAAACATTTATGGACTTGATTTTTTACGATTGTGACAATTCAAGATTTCACTAACAAAGATGGATCTGAGGTGGCTCAGAGCGAGTGGCTCAGAGCGAGTCACGACAAACGGGGCTAACCAGAAAAATACAACCAAATAATCAAAATAAAATGTAAAAATAATATCTTAAGAGTCAACAAAAGTAATAATAATACCAAAACAACAGAAATCAAAATATACGCAAATTGCAATAACTAAACATAGCTCAAACTCAGAAGAAATACACCTTCCCTGTAAGTCTTTTCAGGAAAATCTAAGAGTACGACAATTTAGAAAGACATAGTGGACAGCAGTAAAAAGAACCGTAAAGAGGAAAAACATGGAAGTGTGACACAGTTATTCACAAATGCCTATAATGCCTAATATCCATCCACATTCCTCTGCTATGTGTCATCCTTGTTCCCAACACCTGAACCTTTACCCAGGTCGGTTGCCAGCCCTGAGTGTCAGGGGGGCCATAGTACCAACTAGAGGGGCCCACTATTATAAAAATACAAAAATACACATGTATGGCTTTTGCCGTTGGGGGGGCCAATTGGTGGCAAAGGGGGGCCGGCCCCACCACCCCCCCCCCCCCCCCCTTGGAGACGGGCCTGCCTTTACCCATTTCACACACTGATTTCTGTTACAGGACAATCTTGCTATATAAGGCTCCGTACACAAGTACCCCCTTATCGGCAGGAAATGGAGAGTTGAGGGAGACCATCGGCAAGACATTCGAACGCATCAGTGACGCCGCCTGACGCTCACGCGAAGACGCTTTGTCTTTGAACGCATTTAGAATAAATCGTGCGTACTTCGCGCTACATGCACGCGAACAAACTATGCACACGTGGTATGTCCCGACTATGGGGCTCTCAAAAGTGTTAAAAAAGCACCCTCTTTGGTTGGCGCACGGAGCCCATACCATGTACATGTATATTGTAATTTCAATGGTCATAAAAGTCACGAGTCTAGTTATGACAGAATTTACTTCACTCAAACATCATCCAGCACACCCTTCATGTCCAAAATGGCAGCACATGCATAGAAAGCCCATCAAAGATTACACTGCAATGATTCCATTTATTTCTTTTGGAGTACGGTAAGTTACAATTGTCATCGTCTTGACTTAATGTCATTAAATAAAAAAAATTGAAAACTTGTGGGAAGTGGAACATGTGTTTTTGCATCCCACTTGAGTAAAAAACCAAAACATGTCACACATCACAATGGTTAACAATCGTAAGTTATGCGTTGACTGGTTACGATTCGACTGCTATATACGGGGTCGGCATGTACCGTGACCGTCCCAACATGATACGGTTTGCCACGCTCTAAATCTGTAACTCGGCAATATTTTTCTCATGCATGGATCTTTGGTGACAGCGAGAAAAAAAAGAACCTTTCAAAAAAGTCTTTCTGAACTTTACCGTTTGTTGGTGATAGAGGAATGTGATTGGTTGCAGTGGGAACAAAGTTGGGTTTTTAATTGTGTCGGTGCTTGTCTAAAACTATAAAGCCCAGAAACATGTAAGCAGACTAGACCCTATGTACATTGCCTATTCCACTGGCGTCACAAATGGTGCAAAGTGGGGGAGGGGGAGGGGGAGAGAGAGAGGGGGTGTTTAGAAAGAGAGGGACAAAGACACCACTTAGGGGGGAAGAGGGGGACCAAAAAGAAGGTAGGGGATGTGTGTCAAGTGTTGCCAAGAGCTACGCACCTTCCTCGTTATCCGGTGAGTCTAAAACAAATTGCATGGATGGAAACGAAAAGAGTGATCCAGAACAGTGAATGAAATTGTACGGTGTTTTTGTTTATGGTTTGTCTCAACTCTCAACATGTAATAAAATTGTCTACTGATTCAAAGTGGCCGATATAGGCCACCGTACTCAACAAATGATCAGTACAACTAATTGCTGTCCTCATATTCTCTGTTTGAAAAAAAAGGATATTTCACCAGAATTGAATGAGACTAAGTTAGAGTATTATATATATTTGGAATATTTCGAGGGACTTCTTTTTTTTAAACATTGTTACGTGTACATGTACTGCATATGTATAGAACAACATAATCAAAGTAACATTTCACATTGTCAACATTGTATTCATCTACTTGAATGCTAAATTCTAATATGCATTTGCCCTTTAAATGACGCCACAAGACCAAGTGCAAAACCTATCTATTCAAGAGTGAAAGCCCAAAAAGATGTTTAAATATAACCCCAATGTACCAAAAACATTAAACCCTTTGAGTAAAATAGCAACAGGAATTTAGTGTTAAAAAGACATAAACGTAAGGAAAGTGAAGATGCTTGAAAGTCGTCATTTTAAAAATATATTCCAAATGTATACGAAAGCTTCCATTCCCTGTTAACAAAATGGCTGAAAAGTTAGTACACAACACCTTCAAAATGATACACTTGTCACACTTAGTGGAATTGAATACATGTATTCCTGTACCATGAGAAATGTTCGACCCAGAAAGTCCAAGGAAAACTGTTTTGAAAGTGTGCCTTGATGCAAAATTAGTGATATGCTTCAAAGGAGGAATGAGACAAATAGTTCAGGGGAATGAATTTGAATTCAATGATGATGAGAAAAAAATGAAACTGTCAAGGGGAAGTTAAAAGTTTTTTTAGGTGGGAGAAGAAAGAGAAAAAGTCAACTATTGCTTTTCAACTTCAACTTTCACTTCACTTTGTAGCTTTGTGACCAGTTTGCACCGGATGACGTGTATACACGAAGAGGTTTTGCAGAATTCGGAATGAATGACGGATAAACACACAGGGAGCGAGGCCGGAAATATCTGTCAGCGACCCGCTCGCAGCGAGCGAGGCCATAAATATGAGTGTGCTGCCTGAGGGTGATGGCTTCAACCCGCCTGGCTTGAGGTCGAGTGAAAAGTAATCCCACGCTTCGTTCTGTTCTTGTCAAAATATTTCTGGCGTGAACTGGTTAAATCTAAAATACTTGTGACCCAACGCCACATGTAATTTCCAGAAATGTATTGATTGATATGACTAGGTGAAGCAAATCTTTTACAAGACACTATGAAGCCCACAATGTCTTAAATCTCAAATATAAAATGTCTGAAATTTACCCATACGCGCCCATTCATGAGAAGCTCTGCAATTAACGCACCACATTAAATGCACATTTTCAGAGAGAATTTGTTTCCAAGTCAAAGACATTTCACACAATTCGGGGTCTACAGTGAAAGACAGAAAAATAAGGGGGGGGGGGCGCGCACAAATCCAGTTGTCTATAATTTTCTTCCGGCGAAGTTCCATCTCGTATGACAACACCTTGGTTAAACTAGCTTGTTGGTAACTATGGCAATTCCTAGTCAGCGTCTGGTACCCTGGATCCAGGCAACTTTATGAGCTATGTATCGATACATGGCATTTTGCTATCCTACTGCTGTTTCGTACATAGGTGGCCATGCCCATGAGTTGCAATCAGGAACTACACATCTTGATTGTTGGCAGTAAACATAGACATTTCTTTTGTGTGATTTGACTTTGTTTGAGATGGGGGCAGAGAATGGAAGATGAATGAAGAGAGAACAGAAGAGAGTGAACATCGAGAAGCAAAAAAACTCAGAAAAAAATGATTTGGAACATTTGACTCGGTAAAAATTCAGACACCAAACAGCCGCAGGATGCACTGATTTGTGGCGGGTAAACATGGCCGCCACATACAAAAGCATCGTTTTCAGCACAATATGCACAAAGACAGGAGCCTGTTCTACAACCGTCAAACAGCAAATTTGTTCGTTCGTATTTTTTCCTTGACATGTAAACAGCTATGAAGCAGACGTACAGCTGTACAACGTACACACAAATATCATCACAGAAAAGTAATCACTAATTCCACTACTAGATTTTGCACAGTTTTAACACCCCATCAAAGACTGATTTTTTTTTTGATTTTTTTTTTTACATCAGTCTTACGCAGAGTTCCAAAGTTTGTATCTGGTTTTTTGTTTTTCTTTTTTTAGTCAATTTCCTTGACTTCGATTTTCTTAATTTTGCTGAAAACTTTTTTCTTTAAAAAAACTTCTTCTTTTTTCAGGTGTATGTATACATTGCAATCGCGCGATTTAGAACTTGACAGGCTACATTATGCTCAAAAAAAGGGTTCCCACAAAAATCTGAAAACCAAATTCCATGACTTTTTCAGGACTTTCCAGGACTAAAATATGACAATTTCCTTGACATTTAACGCCATTTTGCAGAGAAAAGTTGTTTGGTATTATGATACGGATGAACCGCTGATGTCAGACTAACCACTTGTTAGCGTTTGAAAATAATTTTTAATCAATAATGGCCTCCTCCTCTCCTTACAGCCATCCTTAAAGCGGCCCATCAAAAATAACACTTACACCATCTTGATTTCCATGACTTTTCCATGACTCTTTTTTATTTTTCTCCAATTTTCCATGACTTTTCCATGACTTTTCCATGACTTTTCCATGACTTTTCCATGACTTTCCAGGACAACCTTTTTTTCCAGGACTTTTCATGATTTTTCCATGACCGTGGGAACCCTAAAAAAAAACCCCAACAGAACGGAACAAATTATGAACGGGGAAGAAATAAAAAGTAAGTCCGTTCACTAGAGCTCGTATTTTTGGAACCTGAACGCTTGACGAATTGCCTCCATGCATCTACAATGAAGTGAATGTTTCACAAGCCAGACTAGTCCACCAGATGAATCATGACAGCATATCCAGGGAAATAAAAGGATTGGAGGAAAAAAAGAAACATAATGCACCAAATTGTTGGATTGTATTCATCTTTTTCTTTTTTTTCTTTTGGGAAAAAAAAATATATATACACGTTCAGTACCAGATAGCTTGGATTGTCTGCGCGTGCGTTTGCTGACTACACTTGCAGATGGCGGTGGGACATCGTCCTCGGAATCGCTGTCTATTGTAAGTGTATAAACAACAGTGGTTAAGATTTATTCCAAATAATAATAATAATAATAATAATAATAAAAATAAAAATAATAAAAACTGAATAAATATACAAATAAATAAATAAATTAGATACTTGAGAAATGAAAAAGCACACATAGGGACACTAGGAGAAAGAAAAGAATAAGGAAACCAACAAAATACCAAAAAATACCGACAGTAGGGCATCAGCGTGTTGTTAGAGTTACGTTAAAAAACGAGAGAAGTTTTCTCTCTGCGGTTTGGATGATGTTAGAAATTCCGATGTGGGATGCAAGTGATTTCAGGGGAAGGAAAGGCACTGTTTTGTGAGGTCGGTATCTCTACCGATGTTAGCAGCTGTAATGAAAGAATTATGATCAATGATGACAAGATGATGAAAAAAATAACGAGAAATATACAATGTACAATGAGACGATGATCTCCGAGCACTGGTTTTACATTATGCAACAAGTAAACAATACGCTACACAATACAGTGGAATGTCGCCATACCGAACACCGCTATACCAAACATTAGGCTATATGATACCGAATATCGTCCTTGGCTCCCGATTGTTTAGTACAAAACCTACCGAGCATGTTGATGAAAATTGTTAACAGAAGAGCAACAAGTGGCTATTATTTCCCCAAGGAATAGAAGGGGAAAGCCACCTATTGCTGAAGGCAGTAAGCTCAAAAACTGTGTAATGACATAATTCAATAGTCGGCACGTGTTCAAAGTCGTCTTTCAGTAACTACCAGGGCGTGCAGGGTGAAGTTCTGAAGGGCGCTATTTATTGAAAAGTGAGTACCGGAGCACCGGCAGCTAGCTTGAAATCGCTATACCGAACGATTGCTATTACAAACAATTTCTGTGGATCCCGCGATGTTCGTTATAGCCACATTCCACTGTAATATGAAAAATTACTACAAAAAAGAGAAATAAGTAGTAATGCATTTTCCCCACTAAGTATTTTTTTAAAATTGTGTTGGTTACATACACATTGTTGTACACCTATTTTTTCAATTTTTATAGAGTATTTTGTAAAATTTCAAAAGGTCCGTAAAAAACATAAAGCCACATGAAAGTTGTAAAAAACATTATTTTGTAATCACTGTTTATTCAACTGTTGGTTGGACTCAAAAATCAATAAGAGATTCATCTTGGACATTATGTTATCTCAATGTTAAAAAAACAACTCCGAGAAACAAAGCACGACTTTCAATTTTGTTTTGGAACGGCAAACTGGAAAATAAAACTTTACCGGGCTACGTGACAACGATCCTCCTACTAACATTATGGCGAACACGGGTGAAGAACCAAATAAGGATTTGCCGAAATGATTACAAATGGTTAATCATGCGGGTACGAAAAATTTATCACTGAAAATGCTGGGAAAAAATAGGAGTGAATGTTTGAGAAAGTGCATTCTTGTAAAAAAATGTATCATGTGTTTTAGACTCTTCGGAAGGGTAGCAACATTCATGCATAAATATGGCTGAACACTGAAACTTCTCCCAAATAGTATTTGACCAAAAAAATAATTGGCAAAAAGCAAGAGTCAGAGGTATTTTATACATAAAACTTACATATAAGAACTAACAATGAACTTCTTAGCAATATAGAATTATTAATTTTTATCTAGAAAACCATCTCTACAAAAAACATCAAATACGGGATAGACCTTATGCATTAAAGTATGGTTAGAGGGCAATGGTTTTGAATCGCTTTGATAGGTATGATCAAAATTTTGAGAAAAGGAACACTCTCTGAGATACCTACATCCCATAAGTTCTATTTGAACAGGTTGCCCAAAATTTAGACCCAAAAAGTTGAGATTTTTTATTTCAAAGATAAGACCGATACTTAAGCTTTATAGGTTCAATAAAGAATATAGAAATTTGAATACCCATTTTGGACTATAACAATAGTTTGGATTTATGTGTTCATGGGTTTTAAAAAACAAAAATTTTCAACAAAGACAAATCCTAAGAGGCCCTTAATTTCCTACTTAATAATTCAAACAGAGAAAGGCACAGTAGGACATTGCATACAGAGTTCACAGGTCACTGTACAATAGACGACAAGCACATGCATAATAACATTCAAAATCAATTCCCATCTTCCCAACAGGGATGCCAGCAGCGTGACAGTTTTAGCCGATTTTCGGCTAACTTTGACAGATTTTTTGTTAAAAAAACGAGTTTGACAGAATATTTGACAGAATGGATTTTTTTGGCAGATTTCTGGCCAAATTCTGTAAAAATAGATATTTGACAGAAAAACATAGCAAATTTGAAGAAAATGGTACATTTGTTTAAAAAAGCTTCAATCTTTTCAAACAAACCCTTGCATAATGGGACAGATTGGCTGGTCTAGGTGCCGAGGTTCACAGGGAACCGGATTTCTTCGTGACGCAACCGCGTTTTGCCTGAATTTACACAATTTCACATCCATAGATTTTTTGTATTGTCATTTGAACCTTAATTAAGGCAATACTACAACATCTGCATGTGATTTTAAGTGTTTATAGCGCATTTGGAGTAATTCTGGGGAATTTGGCAGATTTTTGACAATTCTGACAGATTTTTGAAGTGCATTTAGCAGAATTTGGTCATGACCTTACCATCGCCCTGGATGCCAGTGGCTTGTTGCTCCCGAGCTGGAAAAATGTGGCTCCGTACATTGGGCTACTCACACCGCAATACCACATGCGTGTTGATATGTTTGTCGGCAATGAACGATCGATACATATATTCGGAAAAATTGGACACGATGGCAATACACCATACATTTGGCTACTCACACCTCAACACCACACGCGTGGTAATATGTTTGTCGACAATGAGCATACAATACGTACATCCGTATATCGCGCCAGCATGACGATCGCCATGGAGCAGCGCATGCACACTGATCTGAGACTCGCACACCGGTACACTTATGCCTGTCCTAAACGCTGTGCCACTACCGTGCTGAACTCCTCTGATTTGAGTTGTGCAGTAGCTCGGCTACAGCATGACATTGCTCTACACCACCGAGCTTAATTAGTTGAACTAAATGCATCCAGAGTAGTCACATTGTTAAAATATTTTTAAGCAGTTCCATGCACTTTCTGCACCATCAATATTCAGGTTCAGGTTGACGTAGCGATACTTTCCTCGCCTTCCACCGCTTGTGACCAAGGTTCGAATCCTGCCCGGGTCAATATGTGAATTGTGTTTTCAGTCCCTACCTGATTCCGTGGGTTTTCCCCAGAATATCTTCTGGGCTTTTCCTCCCACCTCCAAAACTGTAATTTCTTCTCATTGTCATCTCTCTAAGTTGGTGTGATGTTTCCCCTGGAAACTTTACCGACTATAATGATACAGATACAGAAGTATTCGGGCCACATTCACTCTCTGTGATGCGAGAGAGGCTACTGTCAGCAGCACATTCCAAAAAATGTTTGCCCCAACTTCTAATTGAATTGAGTTTGGCACGGCAATGGCAGGGCATTTAGTGCCACTGCTGTTTGTAACGACAACAGCAAGGCAGACCCTGTCGTACCAAAGGACGGTGCCATGCCAAACTCTGTTTTTGCCGAGCCAAATGATTCTAGACGCCGTGCTATTACCATGCCAAATTTTGAAAAGTCAAATTAGCTGAGTTCGGCACTGCAGCAGCATGGCGTTTACAACAGACTATCGCTTTTAAACTTTGGTTTGCTGTACAATGTGAATGCGGTGAGTCTATGCAAAAACTTATATTTGATCAACTGCACTTGGTATTGGTCTAGCATGTTGAGAACACATAGCGCGCAACCAATTTTCTTATTGGCTCACGAGTAACTATCAAACAATATGCACTGAATTTTCCTGTTGGCTAAACGACAATATGCAGCCAGGTTTTTTTTTTTGGTTTTCTTTCATCCACGCATACTTTAACTTTTTCCAGCCTGTGAAGGGACAGAATGCAAGAGGTTTTTTCCCAAAACATGAAAACGCTGGAATTTCCGGCTATAGCCGGAAAACTGGCATCCCTGCTTCCCAAGAGACGAAAAAAACAACTTTTTAAAAAACTTTGGATATTTTCATATTTCATATAAAATAAATTCAAATCTTCCAAAAATATAAATTCATAAAAGTCTGCATTGAAACGTATTAAAAATCACGTACACAGTAACAAGGACTGGAACAGAAACAGACTATTTGACAACTGATTATTAATACAAGTCTCCGTTATTGTCTCATTTGGATTGGTTGGGTTTTCTTTTTGAGAAGGGCCTGTTTGGTTGTCATGACAACCTACCTGACTCTGGTTCCTCGTCTTCTTCATCTTCTAAGTTCATGATGGTGCCTGGCTTTAGTCGGAGCTGCTCCAATTGCCCTGAGGTTGGACATCAAACACAGCAACCATTAAGTACATGTAATACCATAGAGGAGTGTGGCCTAGTGGTTATGGTTTGTGACTCATGATCGGCGGGTCAGGGGTTCGAATCCAGCTGCTGGCCATATGTCCTGTCCATGGGCAAGCCACTTCACCCCCACTTGCCTCTCTCCACCCAGGAGTATAAATGGGTACCGGCATTAGCTGGGGAGTAACCTGCGATGGACTAGCATCCCATCCAGGGGGAGTAGAAATATTCTCTATTGCTTCATGCTCCTGAAACCGGAGATAAACGCCGGCCTGATGGGCTACATTGGCTCGTGACAGACTTTACATATACCATAGGAAACACAAATGTCTGATTCAGTCTCTACAGTCCCATGATTTTGTTTCAACGAGATTGTTGCCCAGAGGTTAGGGTAGGTGACTCTTGATGAGTAGGTCATGGGTTTGATTGCAGCTGTTGGCCCTGTGTTGTGTCCATGGGCAAGCCACTCTACTCTAACTTCCATCTAAAAAATAGGCACCAACAGTATCAGTAGCATGGGAAAATTACGACATAATGGGGCAATTTTTATTAAGGGAATAAATATGTGCTTGACCGGTTTTAAACAAGTACGTTTAAAACCAGCTAGGGGCCTGGATACGGATAATGGCCTGAGCCTTCCGCATCCAGGCTCCTAGCTGGTTTATAAACATACTTGTTTAATACTGGCCAAGCACATATTTATTCATTCATAAATACCTTTCGGTCAAAAAGTCCAAACAAGTCAAACATTCACAAATTTCCAACAATTTTGTTCAAAAATTTTACTTCATGTTTTGTGAAACACCCCTCTGGCCATGTCTATGGTATGTGCCTCGCGCGTGTAGTGCTAAAAATCTCCTTATACGTACGCAGCGCATACTGCGTGATGTGGCGCAGAACGCAGCGGTGTTTTACCAATGGTTTAAAACCACCCATGTGATGGGCTATTGACCAATATAAATTGGTATACCGACTCAGGTATTTATGAATACAAAACAACGTTCCCCCCTTTCAAAACACCAAGGGGTCCCGTAGTTAGTCTTGAACATTGGGCTCAACAGGTCTTAATTCCTGTCGGTTTAAAACTCAAACAAGACCAGTAAAATCCTATATATTTTTTCTGGCAGGATCAAAAGTAACCCCTCTGAATGGGACGCTTATGTTTCACAACAAATTACACCAGCACGTCAAGCGTTTAATGGAATACTCACTTTTCTCAACCTCTGATTTGAGTCTCTTGTTCTTGATGAGTATTTTCCTCTTGAGTTTGTTGGGTGACGGGAGAGGGATCCCAGAGTCTAACTGTTAGGACAAAACAGCAATTCAAACCATGAAAAGTATGCTCAGGATCTGGATAGAGTTCGATAGAGTTTGCCCACAAGAAGTAACTCAAGGTACCATGATGAACAGAGAGAACATGGGAAAGAGTACACCAGCAAAATACCCACAATCGTCATAAGTTAATCACGAGATGGGACACATATAACAGGGAATTATAAACGACGACAAAGGAATGTGTTTGTATCAGTTCATTTGAATAGCTTGTGTAAGTTGACTTGAGGCTCACGGACCATTACAAACCATCATGAAGTTAGCTGAGTTGTAATGAATCGAATCAATGACTCGACTCGAGTCCGACTCAAGTCACAATTTTTGGTGACTTGACGTGACTCAAGTCCCGAAGGGCAAATGACTCGACTCGAGTCACTGCGAGCAAATGACTCGACTCGAGTCCCTCATCAGATTGACTCGACTCGACTCAAGGAAGGCTAATAAGACGCAAGTCCCAAAAATAAAAGTAAAACTGCGCGAAAAATATTTGCAATGACTTAAGCCGGTGCCGGTTTTTGTTCACGTCACGTTAGAATGTTCGCGAATAATGTATACATATACATACGTGGTTGATCAGTGTCCTCATTAGTTGGATGGCGATCTGCTGGTGCCCCCTTTTTATTTTCATTAAGAGTCAAATCTAGTAGCCCGAATGTAAAATTAAAAAAGCCAACAAAAATGACTTTCTCTCTTGTGTTTATTTATTGTATAGTGTTCAAATATTTGTGACTGGAATTGACTCGAGCTATATATTTGACTCGACTGGACTCGACTCGACTCGACAGCACACTGTGACTCGACTCGACTCGACCTTCTTGACCTAATGACTCAACTCAACTGGAGTGACTTCTTTAAAATGACTCGACTCGGCTCGAGTCACAAAAATCATGGTCTCGTTACAACTCTGGAAGTTAGCCCATAACACAGTTATAAATTTGTCATTGTTTTGAACTCAGTCTAGACTCCCTCAGTACTTGGTATGGGATTGTCTAAAAGCAAACTAGAAGCGGCGTACCCCATGATCAGCCAGCGGCTCCTTCAGGAGGTATTCCCCAAGATATTCCTCGCAGTACTTGGCCAGCTTGTACTGCTGAAACTTGGTGCAGTGATTCTCAAAGGAGAGAATCACCGGGAACTCTGACGTCACGAAGGCCGTGTCACGAATGGCGATGATGACGTCCTGGGTGGTGGGAGAGAGAGGGAGAGAAAATAACATGCAGGAAAAATGAAGCAATGATTGAAGATGGATGGTATGAGCAGGAAAGGTTTTTTCTTTTAATGTAATGGGTTTGTGATTGGTGAGTTCTTTTTCTCTCAATTTAGTTCATAATTTAATTGTCTCTTAGAACAGTGCCTTGTTCAAAGCAGGCACTTTTTGTACAGTTTTGTGCCTCAAAAATATTGTGTAAATTGGTCAAGAAGTTTGAAAAAGAAATGTGTTTTTAGAGACGGCTGCAATAATTCCAGAAGTTGTTAAATTTTATATCATGACTTCTGTTATGTTGGCTCTGAACACTTTTAATAATAGTAATAATAATAATTATTACCCTGGATTGGACATTTGGGAGACATTCCCATAGACTTGTGCGCAAATTTTTCAAACTTAAATGTGCCCTAACCCAATATTTCCTTGTCCTTTTCCCACGAATTTCGGTATGTTTACTAATTAGACCACAAGCAACAAATATAACCTAATTGCAACATTAAAATTGTGCCTGTAAAGGGGGGCTGTGACATTAGACTGTCTCCCTAATGAACGATGTCTCCCATCGTGCGAAGAAATTACGATAACGTGTCTCCTTAATGGTACCATTACACGTATAATAATAACAGAGTTTTCAAGAGAGTGCAGAGATCCACTCGAAAGTTCTCACGGCGCGTGCTCAAAACAATTTGGTTAAGTGTGGTTAGAGACGTGCGTTGTGCGTAGTGCATACCTTGAAGTTGATGTCCGAACACATGGCCAGTCCGTGTGTTATGATTGGTTCTTGGTCCTCATTCCGTCCGTCCCAACAATCCAGCTCCACACACCTAATGCATGCAATGGGAAAAAAAACAAGAATGGGTGCAGATTTCATACCCCACATCAAAAAGGACAATTACTTTTATTGATGTACCCTAACATGGCACAGGCCCCAACGTGGCGCACTTTGATTTTTCCCCTGTAGCGCCTAGCTAGAGCAAAAGTTGTAACTGAAATTTCACAGAAAGTGAAATTTTATCAAGTTCTAAACACTTCCGTTCATAAATCACGAGTTTATCTTTCCATTACAAAGTTAGAAGAAAAATTTATTTTGGCGTGATTTTCCGATTTCATTTCGAAGTGCACAGTGAACCCTTTGAAAATGTCCCCCCAAAATAGAAGATAATTTGCTGACAAACTTCTAGTTGGGTATGTAAGTAGAGATAATAACTGTTTATCAGAATTTATCAACTTTACAGAAATTCTTAAATGTTAATTTGGAATTTTCCGAGATTTATTCAAGTGCGCCACGTTGGGGAACACTCAGTCGATTTGTGCCCAATTTCCGGACACCACTGTTTTAAAATTTTGGATTAAATTTCATGAAACTGAAATTGTTCACAGCGCTTAAATAGCAAGTATTAATAAGGTAAATGTACCAGTATTTCACTGAATGAATTTGACGTTTGTCAACAAAGAAGTTTGGCAACACTGATGTGGATAGTCGGGGGTAAATGTCGAAGTGCGCCACGTTAGGGAACACCACTATATTTACTTGACTGATCACCTGATGATTTTGTAAAAATCGTTTTGCTCCTACCTGCATCCAGCCAGGAGAACCTGGCGGTACATCTCCACGGAGGACTTGCCTCCAAACTGCCTGCCCGTCAGGTACGTGTTGTGGGAGGAATTAATGAAGTAATGGGACAAGGGCTGGTCCATGTCTTGGTACAGGAACAGACGGTCTAAGAACACCGGCGCATTCTCGTCTGACATCAGGTATCGGCACAGGCCGTCCACGCTCAGTTGATCTATGGGTAAAGTAAAATTATCAAAGGGGATGCTATCCCTGCTAGGCTACAAAATAGCTTTTCTGTTCTAACCTTTACATACTCTTTGTGGACCTGTGAACAAAAGAGTCCACAGGGTGCAGGAAGCGTGAACGCTGTGTGGACTTGCACACGTCCACACTAGGTTTCCCCCTCTCTGGAAAACAGGTTTAGAGACATTTTTGGCTTAGGTTTATGTGTCGCAAAATGAAGAGGAACACTCAAGGAGATCATGATAACAAAAATTGGGTTGAAAGAGACTTCACAGTGCAAGTAAAATGATTTTTGTTCTCCGGTTTTTCTTAACTACACGGATACAAAGGAATATCTACAGTAGGTATGGACGGTAAATCTGTGCGTGTTTGTGTCTGTTCACCAGTTGCTCATGCAAATCGTGTTTGCGCTGGCAGGGAAGCCATCTTGTTAAAAAAAATCCGGATATGTATTTATCCATTGTACTCAGGTTTTCTTCCCACTTACAAAAGAATTAGCTTTCTTTACTGACTTCTCTCCACATTTTATATCAGGCATGTGTGACTGTACAATGGTCACTTTGTTTAAACCTTACTTTCATCACCACATTTTTGGATTTCTGATCCTTATTTCAGTATACCTCTTGCCAATTTTATAGTGAGTTTTTATATTGGGTTTTCCTTCAATATAAAATGTGCATCTCTCTGACACAAGTTCCATCTTACAACATTTTTTAGTGGCTGGAATGGACTGAACTGAACTGTCTAATCTGAATTAAAGTTTAATGTTTGATACTACACAGTTTTTAAAGATGAAGTTGTTCCAGAGTCGTCTCAAGGAAACTTGATATATAAAGTTCGCCTGTCCATAACAAAATTCTATTAGGGGAGATTTTACTTGTTCGAAATTCATTTTAGTTTGGTGCAGCTTTGGAACACCAGGGCAAAAGTGTGGCCTAGTGGTTACGGTTCGTGACTCGGGATCAGAGGGTTAGCGGTTCGAATTCAGCTGCAGGTCATATGTTGTGTCCTTGGGCAAGCCACTTCACCCCCACTTGCCTCTATCCACCCACGAGTATAAATGGGTACCAACATTAGCTGGGGAGAAGCCTGCGATGGACTAGCATCCCATCCAGGGGGAATAGAAATACTCTCAGGTGTTAAAATCCAGCTGCTAGCCATATGTTGTGTCCGTGGGCAAGCCACTTCACTCCACTTGCCTCTATCCACCCTCAATACCAGTGGGTACCGGCATTAGCTGGGGAGCAACCTGCGATGGACTAGCAACCCATCCAGGGAGAATAGAAATACTCTCAGTCTGTTCTTGCCACTGAAACCAGAGATAAACCTGATGGGACTCGTGACAGACTATACTTTTTTACTTTACTTGGAATGCCAGTCCGACACAAGTGAGAGCCTACCTCTCTTGACAACTTCTGGGTCCTTCTCGTAGGTGTGGATGATCTTCAGGATGCGCTCCCGGTCGTAGAAAGGGAAGAGGATTTCGTTGAGTCGGGGGTCTCTCTGCTTCTCGTTGTGGAATTCAATGAGTTCGCTGACAGTCAGACCCTCTTGGTTGCTTTTGCTTCTGCATGGAGCCCAAGGGGGGAGGGGGGGGGAGAGGAGGGATTGATCAATATTGCAGGGTGAAATGCTGAAGTTTGCTGAATTCCAAAATTTCATTACACAGTTTTCTTCCATACTTCACAATAAAGCAAAGGTGAAGTGAATTTCATAATGTAACATGTCACAATTGAGCTTTCCTTTTGACAAGATAGCGGTTATGCCCAAAAATCAATTATGAGTTATGGAAGGAAACTGTATTTTTGAGGTAAACCTACTTGCAATTTTCACTTCCAGAAACCAGATAAAAACAGAATACAACCCAAATTTTGCATTTTCTCAAAATTAACGTTTTCAAAATGAGTGAAACCATTGCTGTGGCAATGTGCCAGTGGTATTTAGGTGACATCAAGGCTACAATGGTTTAATAGATGTGGAAAGATTTGCTATCAAATCTGAGGTGGTTGGGTGGGGGACGAGGTGGCTTACATTTGCTTGAAGAGATCTTCGATGTCAGTCCGTGGGCATATCTTGTGGTAGAGATCGTAGAATTTGCTGAAAGGGAATGTCTGAGGATCAATCTCATCATTCTGTAAACAAAAAACAAAAACAAAAACAAAAAAACAGAAGGTGAAAAAAAGTTTGTTAGTTTCAGTTTGTTATGATAGTTGAATGAACCTGTAACATTTTGAATTCAAAAGATCATTCTCACTGCAGCCATCTTTGCTTTTGTTTTAGGCCAAAAAAAAAGTCTCCAGTTTCTGGTCGCCGTAGCCATGCGCGTCGGCAAAATGAAAAGTTTTTTGTCAATATAAGATGATGTCTGAAAACTGCCAAACTCACTGGTTTGACTGGAATCCTGCAGCTGCACAATTTTAACATGTTTTTAGAGGGGTTATGATCGAGTATAAGCTTTTTGTGGCCTCTCTGGACTCCCATATATTTTGCACTAAATTTAGCTGGGCACCATTTGCAGTCATCAGCCGACATTTGAAGGCAAAAAAAAAGCCGTGTCGCCGCACCACTTTTGGGGCAAGCTCCATAACAGAAACCAGAGACTTTCTTTTTTTGGCCTTACGCAGGGACACCCATGAATTAACATAATACTATCTACTCAAAGATGGATGCTGAATGCAAAAGGTCTGTGCAGGAACTGTGCAGAGAGCGTAAACTCCACGCCCTGAAGCTATACCTTTACACAAGAACGCATGACATAAGTGCCATCATGGTGTCAAATCAGCGACTAAAGGATCTGCAGTGGCTATTTTGTGTTTGTCTAGGCTGCTTAGACAAACCAGTGTACTCAATGCTTCAAACAGTGTATCACCTCAAAGACTAAAAAGATGTTCAAAACATCTAGTTGTTCTCAGATAGTGGTGGGATTACTATCCAAATTTTTAAAAACAATGTTGGATTCTGGAAACCGGACATTTGAAACCAACCTTAAAAAAAATGAAGCCTTCCATTTTTTTGTGGCACAGGCTAAAGAAAATGCCCCACAATTCGCTCTATGGTCTCTGATAGTAATCGCATTCACTCGCTAGTGGTCTTCTTGGTTCATAAATAGACCTTTATCATGCTGCCACCATTTTAGTCATGTTCCCGGTATCCAATAACAGTACTGAATGATAACGTTACTTGTGCAAAAAGGAACCAGACTATTTTTCCTGATAGCCTCGCTTCGGTTACGTTGATTTAAATGGGAAAAAATCAAGATGGCCACAACATGATAATGGTCTTTAGCCTGCCCATTTGCAAGATCAATGAGTTCCCACCCATTTTGTTCACCATTACAGCTCTGCATGTAGGGCATTGCATGCGGCATCTCACTCGTCACATTTTGTTGGCATGATGGTGAGATGAATGGGAACTTCCGGTGTAATCGGATTTATAAGAGTTATTTGGTTTAAAAAAAAAAAAAAAAATTAGGATAACCAGATTTTGAAATCTCCAAATTCTCCCACCACTTTTCTCAGAACCAAATTCTTCTCGGAGCTACATTCAGCTGACAAAGAGTTGCACATACATGATGCTCGTACAAATCCTTCGCTCAACGTAGAAATCTGAAATTTGCCCAAACGGTTTGGTAACATTTCTGAACCACCAATCAATCTGAAGTTATTATTATTATTATTGTTAATCATTTCTGGTAATGAAACCAAGGATCCCTCAAAAGCACCCTAGGCACTTTAGCTCGCAAGCCTGAAGAAACCTGTGGAGAGAAGACAATGAGAAGAAATTACAGTTTTAGAGGTGGGAGGAAAAGCCCAGAAGAATATTCTGGGGAAAACCCACGGAATCAGGTAGGGACTGAAAACCCAATCCACATATTGACACAGGCGTGATTCGAACCCGGGTCACAGCGGTGGAAGGCGAGGAAAGTACCGCTACGCCAACCCGACTCCCCTACGCCAACCTGACTCCCCTACACCAACCTGACTCCCCTAATGAAGTGTACATTTCCAGACATCTTGATCTGAACATCGAGGGTTCAGACATGTTTTCGAGTTCATCAAGATCGTTCACCCAAAAAAAGCTGGAGATTTTACAAGCATAAAAGTAACACATCTATTAGTATAATTCTTCAGAGTGCAAAAACCTAATCCTGGATTGCGAAAATTGGTGCGGTATTAATCACTCAAAAACCCTTTTTAGGAAAAAAAAATCTTTCACTCGAGTAGGCAACTACATGTAGTAAAGAACAGGCACTGATCGGATGATGAGGTCTCATTCATTAGAGTAAGTGCTCATATATTACGCTCACGTGCAAACGATTTAAGTGATTTACGCCGAAAAGGGTGCTCAGGGAGACCGATCGTGATTGTTATCAGCATTACCGCATTGTCCACGTACATGTACATGTAAAACGAGATATACAAAACAAACTAATTTAGTCAGCCTGAGAGATTTACACGGACACTAAAATCTCCCACCAATCTCAATAAAAACTGAGTGGGAGAAGCAGTTGTAAATGTCAAATTAAAAAAACAATAATATCAAATTGAGAGGGAAAAAATGACAAATGTAGAAAACAACTTGGAAATTTGACAAGATTGCTGTCATTGTTTTGAAGGGAAAAGGAGAGAATATGCCTGCTTTTCCAAAACAGTACATTAAGCGGCCGAAGTGTGGTAATCAAATTTAAGGTTTTGGACTCAATTTAAGAAAAGTTCCTCAAAACTTTACAAAACTTCATTTCTCATGTTTCTTCTGTTAGGAAACTTAGATCATGACTTCGCCTGTATATGTGCCCCTTCAACATACATTATGTAGGTAGTGCAGACTCACTTTTGAAGAACATCCGTAATTACTCATACACACAACCAAATTTGTTTTATAAAAGGATCTGGGTCGTACAATGTACTAAAAAGTACACAAGTGCGAGTGCACAATAAGCTCTGGTGAAAAATGTGACGCCGATGGCACATATGGAACACCATACTTTTGGTCAATTTTGGGACATTTCCTCCTTCTAGATACCACGTGACTATAACTTTGCTGCACATATTTTGCCTGCATTTAAAAACTTTTCATAAACATCTTTCCGAATTGTTACAAACAATTTTTGTTTAGTTATTAATTTGGTTTTTTTGCTTCTGTTTTTTTTAATTTTAATTTGGTAGTTACATTTTATGGGAAACTTAGGGGGCTTATTTTGGTCAAGTTTTGGGTACAGACGTATGCAAAATAAACGTGCATGCGCATCAATCAAATCAGACCCTGTATTCCGAAAACTTTCGTCAAGAGTGCATTTTATAACCACGGCATGGCATTATTAGTCAATTATTTTTGGTCAAATATTTGTGGTCAATTTCGGGGACAGACCGACCGACTGACCACCGAGTGACATGATGATGTACAACCTCCTGCCAGAGCTTAATAAAGTGAGGACAATAGTTGAACTGTAAACATGTAGCTTGATTTCGTTTCCACAGCCCAAGAGTTGTGGTCAATTCAAGGGACAAGTCAATTAACAGTCAGACAAGCAGCAAAGTCACACATTGTTTCACAAATATTAAAGGTCAAAAGTAACAAATAATTAAGAGTGAGTTCACTTAAATAGCCAGTGAGTGACTTGTGAATGACTTGTGATGACTTATGATTGACTGTTGGTGACTTGTGATTGACTTATAATAACTTGTAATGACGTGATGACCTGTGACTGACTTATGATTAACTAATGATGACTTGTGACTGACTAGTGATTGACTTGTAATAACTTGTCATGACGTGATGACCTGTGACTGACTTATGATTAACTAATGACTTGTGAATGACTAGTGATTGACTTGTGATTGACTTGCGATGACTTGTGATTGGCCAGTGATTGACTTGTAATAACTTGTCATGATGTAATGACCTGTGACTGACTTATGATTAACTAATGACTTGTGAATGACTAGTGATTGACTTGTGATTGACTTGCAATGACTTGTGATTGACTTGCAATGACTTGTGATTGACTAGTGATTGACTTGTGATGACTTATGATGACCTGTGATTGACTTGTGATGACTTGTGATAGACTTGACTACAACTCTGCCAAATCCCACAGCCTCACTTACAGCACGAATTTCCAGATCCCACAACAGCCAACAAATATTACAAAGTGTGAAAAACTACCGAATCCTACAGAATTCACGTACTAGAACAAAACCACTCTTGTATAAAGCTCATCCAAACACACCCCCCCAAACATTTTGATCAGTACTGCGCAGATCACATCCCCCAGCTATCCTCCATCTTCCATAGAAGTCTTACCTTTCCTGAGGGAAGCCCTAATTCCTCCAGAGACTTGAAGACGATCTTCTCCGTCTTGCCTGAGGCAAAGGTCCTGGTGAGGTTACGCACTGGTATATTGCCACTCGGATTCACCTGAAAGCATATCTTCATCCAACTACAAAAAAAAAGTCGCAGACGAGTACAAAGAAAGAGAAAGAAAGGTATGCTTAAATTAGTTGGGAGCAACACAGAGGATGCGGGATCACAAAGATGTCTTCACCAGCTTGGCCGTCTAGAGTTGCCGGACTTATCAACTGCTCTGAGGCAATGAACTTGAAGGCCCAGCCATTCCTTTGGGAATCTACCATGCTTGGGTTATTGCGAGATCACCTGCCCACCTTGCAGATATTACGCGCAGTGGGTCGGGACTGTATCTTGTTACCTGCATGCTGTCTTTACATGTTTCTTATCACAGGTGTATGTCTAGGTTTATTTGTGTGTTCGTCCAGGCCTCTGGGCAAACTTAAAGCATATTTCAGCATCATGACGAGATTTCTCATTTCAATTTGAATTGACCGGCTTTCTTATATTAATCATAGATTCACAGACATTACAGTCAAATTTATATCTTTCAACTTAGTTGAGATGAAACAAAATGGTCACCGTTTTATGCAGATAGAACTTACTGCCGATTAATACTGATCCAAATTGTTTCATAACGTTAAATTCAGGTTAGGTGAAAAGAATGCAGTGCCACAACGTTACTACACTGTACATGTACCTTAGTAAAAAGATGCTTCCAAATTATTGTCAAGCCAATAAAAGTGCTGTTAGCAAATTCATGTGATGAGAAAGTAGGAAACATGAACATTTCTAAGAAAAGTTTCTAATCAACCACAAAGGGAAACTGACTTAAATGCATAATCATAATATTTTTCAAATTTGAACAAAGAAATTGACCGGAGTGTGGTTTGAACCTGCAAACTCCGAGATTGCCATTCTGGTGCTCTACCAACTGAGCTATCCAGCCCTATGTCGGTGGTTCCCCAATTTGTCAATATCCTTGATAGCCCAGTTGGTAGAGCACCGGAACGGCAATCCGGTCAATTTCTTTGTTCAACTTTGGCGAAAAAAAGATGAGAACGGTCTGCTTCATCAAAAGCAGGAAATGTGGTAGTTAGACTTTTGAATCTAAAATGTTACTCATCATTATCTTTGTACCTAATGAAAGCTCAATGACTGTCAGGCATGAACTAATCGTTACAGACAACTGACCAAATTCTGAAGCTGCCCTAAAACTCTAGAGCTTCATTAGGGTGAAGATGACGTCACTTTTTGCTTATGAATATGGGAATTTAGATTAGCATAAAAAATCAAAGGGGAAATGAATAACATCTAGAAATATCATACTGAAGGCTGGAAAAGAAGGTAAAAGGGACCCAAAGATGAATTCAAATGTTTTCACAAATTTTAAGAGGTCTCTCACCCCTTAGTCCCCGTACAGCCCTGAAAATTGCTCCTTATACCACCCAAAACCGCCCCAGGCACTCTATGTTTTTTAGCATTCAACAAGGAGTGAATACAATGTAATACACCCAGGATTTGGCGGGGGAGGGGGGGCTCACTATTTTTTGTAAATTTTTTTCAGAAGTTTGAATTTTTTTTAAAAATGTTGCCCGAAATTGTTGGCCGCAGAATTTCTTTTTGGAGGGGGGACGGATTATTTTGACGTTGGTGGTGCCATTTACACCCCTATCATACTAACAGAGCTGCCAACATTTGCATCTTGCAGTCAGGGAGATTCTGTACAACAATCAGGGAGCTATTTAGAATTACATTCAACATAATAGGGACAAAGTTTCCAAAATCAGTGAGATTTTCAAATTTGTTCATCAGAACATGGGAAGATTGGTTCATTTTCCGGGAACTTTCTGCAAAATCAGGGAGAGTTGGCAGCTCTGTACTAATTGAAAATAGGCCACATTCATATCACCACAGTCAAATCGTGGGACTAATACAAACATCTGACCCCCCAAAAAATTAAAAATTGACAACCTCTTGGGGGCCCTTGGGTGCACCAATGCAGTGTAATATAAGTGTAAATGGGTCAAATGCTTCTGTTTAAAACAGTCATTGCTGAAGTTGCACACATCATGGCCAAGAGTTTTCCCTATACTGTGGCGAACCCATCAAAAATTCAGAGTGTAATTGCTACCAATCCCTGGATAATCTTGGGCCGTGTCAGCGTTCACAACGCCGCAACTGACACCGTGTAAAAAACTTACTGCTTCATTAGACTCGTCATTGGGCAGACATTGTTGGCCTTGAAGTTGTGCGTAATCTTCAGGAGACCATCAAACCATTCCTGCATGAAAGACATCCAGAAAGAAAATCCATCACAACCAGATGTAAGAAGATGGTGGGTCGATGAGATTTCAGGATGATGAGAGGAAGGGGGGGGGTGCTGATGAGGTGAAGGAGAGGTTGGTGTCAGGGGAGGTTGACCTCAGGTATTTCAAGTATGATGTTAGATTATCATGCCTTAACACGACAGCCATCTTGGTCTTGTTTCTGGAGTCAGGTATAGTGATGATTGTGGATATGATAATAATGTCATGGGTACCACAATATCTCAGGCTTGACTCTTTAACAAAAATTGTTTCAACAAAAACACAGTTCTAAGAGGCTTTCACCAAATGAGGATGACTGGAAATGTTTTGTTCCCTCCTATTTATTTAGTAAAGCAACTTTCCATCCCAAATGGGCCAAATTATTGGGGGGAAAAGGAACTACTGTAGGGTCAATAACACATTTTTCATATCCAATATTTGTATATCCATCATGAACTACATGTAATGTATTTCCAGAAGTCTTTTTCTAGAATGCAATGTTACTATACTTTGGTAATAATGTGTCATAACAAACACGTTTTCAACATTTATCAACTTAATGTATCCGAGTTCTAAGAAAAAGAGGCAGTCTTAAATTAGCGACGAAAAATATTTCCAAGAAGAGTAAGATATTGAATAGTGATTTACATGTACACATCTATACCGCCTCCGGAGACAGCGAGCAAGCGACTATATGACATCACACGCACACACATACACAAAACGGGCTACACGACCCCCAGCCGGTTGCTATGCACTTAAGAGCCGGTTGCCACGTGATGTCATTGAAATCATTTCTGGTGCAGGGATTTTTTTCCCCCCTCTGTACATCACTGGCTGAGAGCTGTTGTTTCTGTCCACGCTTCTATCCTAATTCCAACAGTTCAAGGCATGTGAGCTGCATAATGCTTTGAATAATGCAAACATGTCTGCCACTGTACAATGTGAAACAATGTAGCGCTTTGAAACTGGTTCTTCTAGTAAAAAAAAAAGATGTTTTGAACATCATTCTTGCATATATAACAAAAACAAATAATTAAATTGTGAATTATGCATGCTCTTTTCTAATTTTGTTGTCTGTATTAACTGTACAGGGTGAGTAAAAAAAAACGAAACCCAAATGTCGGGACCATTGTTTTAGTGAAGTTCTACATGTAGCACTTTCAAAATCTAAGATATGATAGCCCAATTCATAAGGCTTCTTTTAGTACAAGAATCATTCAAATCACTTATGTACTTTTCAAGTTACAGAATTTTAAACACAACCACCATCTTAAAGTTCTGTCCACGGATCACAAGAAGGTAAGTTTTCAGCAAAACAAAAACAAATCACATAGGGATGTGTATGAATTGTTTTTGTTTTGCTGGAAGAACGCACACCTTTTTTGTGATCCGTGGACAGACCTTTAAAACGGTGGTTGTGTTTAAAATTCCGTAACTTGAAAAGTACATGAGTGATTTGAATGATTCTTGTACTAAAAGATAGCTTATGAATTGGAATTTCATATCCTAGAATTTGAAAGTGCAACATACAGAACTTCACTAAAACAATAGTCCCAACATTTGGGTTTCACTTTTTTTTACTAACCCTGTAGTCTATTAAAATTAGGCTAATGAGAAAGAAGATCAGTCAGATACATGTACAAATGAATGTAAATTGTCCGATTGAAAAAAAAAAGGAATGAATTCTGCAGACGACTGATGCCCTGTGAAAAAAAGAAACCCAATTTTGTCTTTCTCCATTATAAAAAAAAAATCCTTTTTAATTAGGAACCTCAAGCTGTACCAACTTTGTGTCAGACAGATATCCTTGGGAGGGTGTTAGAAATATGAGTACTATTTGGCCAGCAATCAGAAATGCACTTAAAGATGTATACCCCATGCTCTTCAAAGAAAAATGATATTTTTTTTATCCTAAGGAATTTTCAATTTGTATGTTTTGTTTTAATGAAGAAAAAAAACCCAACAAATTTATTCCAATTTTTGACATCTGCATACCTCTGAATTATTGTCTGGCAGCCAATAATTGAAATTTTGTGAAGAAACAATTAAAAAACAAGGTGGTTCTCGAGCCACCCTTCTCGCCTGTTTTAAATGAGACCAATTTCACATTTTCTGCCTATTTTACAACTTGACCTTAGAAAACCTGTGACCTTTCACAGCATTATCATCTGAAGGTTGCCATGTCCCATTTATGACCCGAGTTTGGTTCTTATTGGACTTAAAGTTTTGAAATGAGACAATTTTTCGAAACTTATCCAAAATACCACATACATACGGACATACATACGGACGCCCTGACGTATGCACATAGTGATTGCATGGTCTCCTTCCTGAACTTCGTTCAGGCGAGACAAAAACTAAATGTCGGTGGAATTTTTTTGTTCAATGTCTTATTCAAAAGTGAATAACTTTTATACAGTATTGCTGAAAACATAGTAAATGGGAAAAAAACAATAAAAATTATATATTTTTCGAGGTGAAACTTGAAAATTATGAGCACGGGGAATGTATCTTTATTATATAGGCAGTCATATATGACCTTGCTTTGACTAGTCCCTACTGATTAAGAGATCCTTGTTTGATTTTACCCATTCACAATTCACAATAGCTCGTCAGTGACTACATTGTATTTCTGCGGGGAATTTCTGATCACACAGGAAGTTTCTTTTTTCAGCTGGTACATGTATGTCATTAAAACGCATATTCCAATTTTAGATTCTATTTTTAATTTAATCAGACAGCATATCCTTGGAGGCACACTCGTTTTCATTAACTTGAAAATGTCTTCTCCTGTTCCATAACACCCGTAGGGCAATTCCTTTTAATAAATATACCTGGAAATGTATATTTCAAAGATAATCGTATACATCCATCATCTAGAAACGGTCAAGGAGATTACAGACTAGGAGTTTTGGATCATTTCTCACAGTAAATTGGCTCTGTAACGGACATTTCACTTCCTTTAATAATGCTGGAATTGCCCATGTGGCTATCTTGTGTCATTGTCTGATAACAATTTCAAAACTTCTGGAGGGAGGATACGACATTTAAAGCCCTCAGAATGTACATTAACTGTTCAATCAACTTCAGTTGGAGTAAAATTTGGATGGGTCATTCTATAAATTTGGGGTCCAAAGTGTGACATTTTTCCCGTCCCTGTTACCTTGGTACTTTGTAATTTGCCATTCAAGCATCATTAAAAGTGACTTCAAATGATTGTTTATTTGTTGGGTAGGTAGTTTGCTATTCATAATCACTCTTGAAGGATGACTGCATTAAGGAGTGCATCAGAATTATACAATCATAGGAAAAAAGTGGACCCCAAATTTATAGAATGACCCCCTCCCTTGATGGCCGAAAACAAAACAAAAAGGAAAGATGAGGAAGAAAAGGCTACAATTTATGGTTCTCAGGGGCTTAATGTGTCATATAGTGGAGGTGACATTGTTCATCATTGTGCAACATCTTCACAGTCCAAACTTCTTTGGTTGGAAGGGTTTGGACCTTTTTTTCTTAAAAAAAAAACACTGATTTTAAGATGAACTTAATATCTACTGGTATATGTCAATTCCGCAAAAGCATGTACACACTTTCAAATTTCATATACTAGGTTTTGCCTCGCCCGCAAAATTTTGCTACACATAAATTTGCTTGGAAACATTTCCTGCTTGTAGGCATACCGGATCATTTGCTTTTCATGCATTTTGTTATTTACCAATAATAACACCACTCAAAATCCAAAGAAGAATGTTCCAAACCTAACCTGTTGAAGTTTCAGCTCAGTGGATATCACACTTGTTTGACTAAACAGTCAGAAACCATGCCCAACCTTTGGATCACGAAACACGATTTCGTCTATGGCACTCTTTATTTCAAAAAATCAGTCAATGGACTGTTCGCTGGAAATCACCTCAATGTCTTGCTCTCTTCGACATGACAGCTACCCAGACGGAATGATTTCACGGGGTGTTTAGTACCAGGACACAATCTTTAATCCACGTAAGCTTTTTGATGATAATTTGGTATATTTCACACCTGTACCTTTGGAACAAATGCAAATGATCCTATATACGCCTTCGTGGCTCTAGCAAATCTACTGACGGGCTCGTGGTGCAGACCAACAGGTGACAATTATGATATAGCTGCCTGCATCTTCCTCAAGAGCCTGTTGGAATCATGACCCTCTGGCATTTCATCTCATGAGGTTGTAATGCATCAAGGCGTGAAGAGGGATGTAATGAGATAGAACAGTTCGAATCCATAAGTGCCCGTAATCCATAAGATGGAAGTGGGGGTTGTGAACACGGATCTTATGGGACAGGAGACTTGCAATGTAACACCAACTACATGTACATGTAGTCTGAACACAGCCTCAAAATCTCTAATGGCCAAATGACCTATGACATGGGGATCAACTTAATGTCAGGCATGCAACTTGGACTAAATAAACGAGGAAACTCCAATCTTTACAAGACTTTGTACAGTGTTTTTCAATGTTCAACCCTAACCTTCCCAAATCCTCCCAAATCCTCTTTGCAAAATGGAGGATTTTGCAGGATTGAGGCTATGGCAAAAATGTGCAGCTGATTTTGGAGGATGCACTGTGTCAAGGTCTTGGGCCGGACCTTGTGCTGTTTATGCTCCGCCGTGCACACATTTAGGCCTAGATTATACTTGAAATCCTTTGCACTGCTCCAGGATGTCACAGGCTCTGCCTCAACATATTGACAGCGACTGTTAGAGGATTTTGCGGGATTGAGGCAGTGGTCGCCCCTCCAAGGTCCACATTCAAGAAATAACGGATGATTTTGCAGGATTGAGGCTGTATGCAATTTTTACATGGAGGCAGTTGGAGGATTTTGCAGGATTGAGGTTGCATCCTAGCAAAAATGCCTGGGGAGTTAGGGTTAATGGCATGAGTGTGAAGTGAAACGCGAGGAAATCAGCTGATCCGAGGAAAAGTTGCATGCCCTGTAATTTATATATTCTTACACGTGTGAAAAAAGGCAGTGTTCCGTGTAATGCATATTACGTTTAGTAAAGTGCACTGACAGACTATAGGGAGGGTTGCATCGTCAAGGCATCTTGCAACCAGGCAATGTCTGTCCTCTTTCTTATACATGTATGATATGGGATCAGGACTCCAGTCAGAGTTCCTACAGAAATCTTAAAGTTAAAATTCCATGACTTTTCCATGACTTTTCCATGACAAAATGAGGGATTTCCATGACCAATTCCTGAAAATAGAGGTCTATGCCGTGTGCATTACCATCAAGATGGCCTCTAGCTCCCCTCACAGCCATCCTATCCTGGCATTATTTCATGTTAAAATTACATGTCACCAAACACATTAAAGGCATCCTGTCCCTGTCCAATTAGGCCGAATAAAAAAAAAACATGTTTCTCGTCCGGATTTTTGGAAAAAAAAGGAGGAAGAGGGGCTTTTTATTTTTTATTTTTTTCAAGATGGCCACCATTTTAAAAATTTCCTGCAACCGTTGGTGTTTCCACTGTTCAAAGACACTTTTAAAATGAAAGACAAGTTGGACAAGAGAACTGAACATATTTACAGTGTCATTTAGAGTTGTATTGGTCTACAATGAACAGTTTTAGATGCATTTGCTTTAACCGTGGACTTTTTCGGTGTTTTTTTTTACTGCATTTTTCAAAAATAAAAAATAATAAAAAAATCCAGGCGGCCTCCAAAAAGGAAGCGGGCGGGGACGAGAAACATTTTTTTTCTCACTTCGCCTTACTAGCATTTCATGGTACTACAAAGCTCTGAACACCACTGACTACAGAAACTGCAAATGTGCACCAAATCACGTAACAAAGGTTGTGTAGGATTCCATGACTTTTCACATGACTTTTTCCTCGGAAAATAAACTTTCACGACTCCTTGTACAAGACCACAACTCCATGCCTTTTCCATGACTTTCCATTACAGCTTTAAATTCCAGGATTTTCTCGGAATTTTCCATGACTGTGGGAACCCTGCCACTTTGATCACCACCTACCTGTGCTAATTCGGCTGAGGAAGCCACCATGTGCATGTAGTTGATGTTGACCAAGTCCAAGCCGCTGCATACCGTGATGGTCCTGTCCTCCACATTACCCTTGGCATAGGGGTCTAGGATGGGCCCCACTTTGCTCAGATAACTTGCTTCCTGCAGAAGACAAATACAAAAATAAAGAAGAAAAAAAAACATTGTCAGCAACAATGATCAAACTTTAGCAAACGTTGAAATAAAATAAATATGACTTTCCACTTTTTCAATCGAGCAAGGTGTTCACTAAGCTGGAAAGCTACAACTTTGCACTTGATCTACTAAAAAAAATGGTGACAAACCCACCATCACCTACAAAGGAAAAAAGGGTAAAACCTCAAACCATTGACACTACTGGGAAAAATACCAATAACTAATAATAACTACTACTTAGTACTAGTAATAACTTGCAGTACTGTGCAATAATTTATTGTTGTTTGGAGACAACTGTACTGTACAAATATAAAATAATAAGAAGAACTGTTCCACCTGTGAGGGCAGAGATGGTTATTGTGATTGAATTAGCTTCCTTGTGCCTAACACTAACAGGCAGCATCGAGCTGTATACTCCCCAGGGAGCTGAGATTGTATTTGGAATGTTTAATTGGCCTAATGATCAGGGGTAATAATAATGTAAAGTGCTTTGATTTTAGTTAAAAGCGCTATATAAGAACCCGTTATTATTATTATTATTAGCGAGAAAGTTGTCATTGGAGGGGTTTACCAAATTTTTCCCCCAAATCTAAATTTGCCGGGCGGTCATAAAACAGAGACAAAGCTTAGTTTCGAGAAACGTCCTGAGACTGCAGACAGTGTTTTCAGTGCGTTGAAAAGATGCACGGGTACCCTTCCCTTCTTCCTCAATCTAAGATCATCCAAATCTTGCAATGAATTTGGGAGGATAAGGGAAGGTTACATGAAGGATCAAAGCAAAGATATTCTGCCATTTTAAATTCAGCCTCTCATTTATAGAAACCTTGACTGGAAAGGCTTTTTTACAAAAAAAACAATTCTGGAAAAGCTTGAGTGCCAATCCCTTTCAACTATACACTATAACCACATAAAAACACATCTGCTCCCACCAAATGATTTTTGAAAGTTTGCTTTTACTGAAAAGACAAGTTCAGTATCCTCAGGATACTGAACTTGTCTTTTCAGTAAAAGCATCCTGTGATAAAGACCAGTATTCTCCAGTCCGTGGACAAGGTGATTTGTTTCAAATTAGGTAATTTGTTTCAATATAGAGTCTGTATCCACAATGTACTGCCGGACTCAAAATCAAAGCAGCTGCCAGTTGACATGGCAACAAATGAGGATGGAGATTTATTTCCTTGAACGGCAGATGTACGCTTTTCTCTTCTCAACAACGACACCGCCACAAACACAAGACACCCGGAACTCTACTGCCTAGAGCAGCTGGTGCCTGGCCATTAACTAGATGCACTCTCTCTTTATCATGGATTTTGCAGCAATCAAAAGAAAGTGCATTATCATTGTGACCAAAAAAAAGAAAAGATATGGCAATTAAAACCTCTGTTCCTAAAACCCCAACGTCTTTTTCTGGTTTTAATCTTTCTTTTTGTCGTTGTTTGTATGTTGAAATTTCAAATTTTATATCTCGGAAAGTAACTTCAACAAAACTCAAACTACTTGCGTGATACATATGTATCATCACAGAAACATAAGGAACAGCAGCGAGTAACTCAATGAAAATTTATACTTTGTCAGATTTGGATTTTGTTGTTGTTTGTAAACTGTGCATATTTTGGTTGAAATTCTGCATGGTTTTTTTATAACCCTTGTAATTCAAAGGCCGTTTTACCTAGCTGAAGTGGTAACTGCTCACAAACTTCACTGTGCTTATAAATTTCAGCAATAATTCCAACCGAACAAAACATCGGCGATAATTCCAATTGAACAAAACATTTTGATGAAAACACAGAAATACAGTCAATGCATGTTAGCTTCAATTGATAAAACAACAAAACTTGATACACCCAATTATTTTCCAAGTTGCTTCCTCTGTGTTTTAAAAAAAATGTCGGTCAATGATACAAACATTTTATATTAGGTAAATCTGAAATGAACAGTAAAGATAAATCAGTAGTGGAATATTTTTTGAAAATGGTGATTCAATAATCTTAACACCTGTCAATATTTGCCTACATGTACAGGGACACTGACATGACAAAACAAGTTAGTCCTAAATTTTGTTCCAAATTTTCCAACCAATACTCTACTGCTGAGTGACATGATACAGCTTGCGTGGTATTTTGTTTTTCAGAGTGTAGATCGAGTGGGCGATAATTGTAGCTCGTCGATATCCTCACCAATGTGTTTTAAAGGCCGACTGTATACTACGTGTTGCAAGCTGGGTTACATATCTTGAGTCAACGTTGACATTTGCGGTCTCAAGGTTGCTTTCGGTTGGCCATTTTTGGCTCTCCATACCTCATTACGATTGAGCACATCGCAGCGCGATGCTGCGACCAGGCTCCTTAATTAATTTAGGCCGCAGCCGACTTTTCATCGGAGGGGGGAGGGGGATGATAATCACCGGCTGACATTTTGTAAAGAAAGCGTGGGGAAAGAGCAAAAACACGGAGCAGACCTTTTTCTTTCCTGTTGATGTGCGGGATCCGATAGCCCGAGTTTGGGTAATCATTGAGACAAACAAGGCAATCAAGATGATTGGAAAAAGTGACGGTAGTGATGGGGGAAGAGAAGGAGGGATCAACTAGGAATAACATGATCAATTTGCGTACTGCTTCCCACACACTTTGCAAAGGGCAGGGCCATACAGGTCATTTCAGACAAGGCAAGTGAGGAGGGGGAGCACTGGCATGTAAGGAATTCATAGGCAAATTCAGACTCTTTTAACAATACTGTTTACATGAAGGTGAGTTGAACCCCAAAATAAGTTTTAAAATGTCTTCTTTCTGGACAAAATGCTGAACATTTGCACACAGGTGCCTGTTGACTGGCTCACTGACATGTCCGACATTCTGCAAAACCTAAGTGTAAATTTCCACCCCAAACACAGAGAATTCAGGCGATTCACAATGCAGAGCGCCACCAAGAGTTTGCCATAGAGAGTCCATTTTTCAAGTTTACATTCGACAAAACATGGCCCATTTGAACGAGTGTCATAAGACTACTTGAGCTAATTTGTTATAGATTGGGGCAAAGCGTTCTGCCGCCTTACAAAAATCACCACTTTGATAAAAAGAAAACAAAAGGGCAAACATATACTTGAATCATACGCTAACGAAACTACTGACCAGAAAAACTAACAATTTCAAATGTCCCGCATACGCACTGCGAATTTGTCGACCATCTCCCACAATGCACTGGGAAAATGAACTCTCCGGCATACTCTTGGTGATGCACTGCATTGTGAATCGTTAGAATTCATATATTAGTGGGATCATAGTCCAAAAGATCTTGGAAACTACTGGGCATTCCTCCATCCTTTTCAATTAGTGAATATCAGGCATCACACTTGAAAACCCAGACTTATGGAACACTGCAAATTACTGTTATACATGTATGTGTACATGTACACTTGTACATGTACATGATGGCAAAAGATTTGGATGTTGTCCATATCAGACAAAGTACCGTACAGTGGTAAGTTGTATGTTGTGTAAATCATGTAAGTACCAACAACACAAAAATGAGATTTCTTCTTTTCTAAAGCCCGGTTCATACTTCATGCGAATGCGAAGCGAATTTGACGTCATGAAACATTTGCTGTGAAATTGGCCCGAGTTGAAATGTGTTCAACTTTTACGGATTTGCAGCGCGAATACTTGCCTTGATGTCAAATATTCGCATTCGCTTTCGCTTTCGCGCCGAGTATGAACCGGGCTTAAAGCTGTGGAAAAATAAGTATCACCTTAAACATACAATGTATCACCCAGGAAGGTACATAAGTGCCAATTTTGGAAAACGCAAGACAAAACAACATGGTGTGTGGTGCCAGAAATTTTTGCCAATCAAATTTTGAAAAGATGCAAATCTAGGAAGACTAAATCCCTGATCATCACTAGTCACCTTTATGTTTATACCGACTACAGATGTACTTTTGTATATATAACACTAAGAAATGTGCAATTATGCAGCATTAACTGTGACGGTAATTATGTTTTTATTATTGTTTTGATTATGGTGTAATGCACAGCTACTCTGGGTGGAGTGCACTACTCCATTGTTGAAGGAGAGAAAACAGGCTGATTTCATGTCGGGCATGTCACTGGGCAAATAAAGTTAGCTTTTTTATTGCCTTGTTTACTCGGTACATATCTGGTTGCCTTGGACGACTGCCATTGCCCCAGCAATAATTCCCATCCCCGGGGTGCAATGTATGAAAATGCACTGCATTGCATGTCAAAACCCTCCTGCCATAAAACTGCAGCTCCAAATGAGGGTACCGGTAGATACTGGTACTTTCCATGCCATTAAAGGGACAATGGAATGAATTTTACACTAAATCGTATTCTGTGCAATTTCTCATGCTTCTGAAATGTATGAAAACGATGAGACATCCTTTTCTGGTTACATTCGTTTTTGTAAAGTGGTCTTATTCAAAAACATGTGAAATGTTCCATGCTTTTCCTAACAACTGATGGCGCTACTGCTGTGATGTCATTTTAAGGCGCCTACTCTTCATTTTGGGGGTTTTCTGATCATGTGAACCCAAGAATTTGCTCATTAAAAACATTTGTGCATAAACTTTGCTCACTGACTGACTGTCATGTACTATAAGAACAATGAATTTACCAAATGCAGACAATTTACCACAGCCAAAAGTCTAACATTCTGGCAACGTTTGGTGCTGACGCAGCTGTAAACACTGAAGTTTCTGCCTCACAAGACATCTCAGTTTTTTTCTCATGAATATGGAAATTTGCATTAGAATAGCCTTGGTCAATGCTCTCGTCGTTATTCGTCCCGTACGTACGCGGTCAATCGTCGGCATATATCCTCACGCGCTATGCACATGCATGTAAAAATACAGCGCGAACAGCGACCTCATGCGGCCACTATTTTTATGCAAATCAGTTGGAGACGATGTCGAGCCTTGGTTCAATCGTCCATGTGAGGTTTTGGGGGT